AAGCTCTATTCCAGTGTTGTGCAGTAGAAAAACAATGCAAGCCACACACATAATTTTAAATTTTCTAGTAGCCATGCTGAAGAGTAAAAAGAAAAATGTACAAAATTAATTTTAATATATCTTATTTAAACCAATATAGCAAAATAGTACTTCAACATGTAATCAATGTAAGGAATTACTGGTGAAATTATTTTGCTTTTTTATAGCAAGTCTTCAAAACCTGGTGTGTATTTTACACAATTTGGATATTAAACGTTGATTGGAAATACTTGTTTGGTATTTAGGTTTCATAAAATTTATACTTGAAAAAGTAGATTTGCATACCCAAGTAGTTCTAAACACTTTTAAATGTTTTCTAATAACTGAATCCAGTGTTGGATTTGTGTGTGTTTGTTTTTTAGAACAATACACACCTTGTATACATGAGCTAAGATAGGAGGAAAGAAGATATGTTTGCCTTCCTGGGCCTTGATTTGCCTCAGCTAGAACTCCAGCTCCTTGCTCGCTAGCACATAGCCATCTGCTCGGCCACGTTGGCCTGGTCTTGAATCTAAGCATGCAGGAAGCAAGCTCGCCTGCTGGAGCTGCTCCTTGAGAAGACTGCTGATTTGGCATTCTCTTTCCTTTCATCATATTTTATCTGAATTTTCTTTGATCGTTTTTTGTTTAAAGTCTCTTCCTCCTCGGGAGTCAGCTTGGCCCCCTTCTTGCAGCCCAGAGTCAGTATGGTGTGCTGTCAGTGAGTGCAATGCCGTTCTTCACTAGGGGCTTGCTGTGGACCAGTTGGTTGTTGATGCACTGTAGACACATCAGTATCTTTGTTCTGAGCATACAACACTCCAAGCCCCAGGAGACGTTGCCCACGTCCAGCCTCCACGCACGACAGGTTGTGTCTATGCGGCATGGGCCAATCTTAGTGTTGGCAGCTGGGTGTCCCAGCTCATATTTTTGCTTCTTGTGGTAGGGTTTTCTCTTGCCCCAGTAATGCAGCGCTTATGCCAGTTGTCCCAAGAGATGCCCATGGCTTGGCACCACCCGGAAAGAGCCTGTATTGGTTTTTAAATTTAAATTTTAATTAATTAAAGTTAAAATTTAAGTTCAGTTCCTAGCCATATTTCAAATGCTCAATAGCCATAGGAGGCTAGTGGTGATTATATTGGACAACACACTCTTTACCATCTGGCCCCTCTTCTCTGACCTGTCTCCTACTGCTTTCTCCTTTGCTCATTCTGCTCCAGCTGTAATGGCCTGTTGTTTGAGCACAGCAGACACTTCCCATTTCAGAGCCTTTGCATTTGTTCTTCTCTATGCCTAAAAAGCTTTGCTCCCAGATAGCTGCATGACTTACTCCCCTACCTTCTTCGGGTCTTTGTTCAGATGTTTCCTTCTCTTTTTTCCAAATTATAAGAGGAAGTTTATTTAGAAAGTTACAGAGGCAGTTAAAAGTGAGCCGGAGAAGAAATGGCCCTTGGAGACGGAGAGGGGAAGGAAGGCCCAAATGTCACCTTCTTAGAGAAGCTTTTCCACACCAACCTATTTAATATCTGTACCAATTGCCTTCTCTCAAATTGTTACATTTCCAGGCTGCCTTTTGAAAGAAGAGAAAAGAGGGCTGGGAGGGCAGAGGTGACCTGATCTACAAGGAAAGCAGTGAAATAATAGGAATTGTTCTATACAGACAGACAAATGAATGAATATGTTAGGCAAAAGCACCAAGTAAAATAAAAGTGAATAAGTGACTGTATTGCCTCAACTTACTAATACCTAGGCAGCGCAGAGGATTATTTTTTTGTGTACACGACTGACCTTATAGAGTGTAAGCTTCTTAAATACAAGGTTTTGCCATAGCATTCTCTTCTGCCTTCTTTAGCACCTAGCATAGAACTTAAAACAGAAGCCCATCTGAGCTCTTCAATTATGGTCACCTGTTGATTAGCCTTCTGTGTTTTACATTCTGTGGTCACCTCTCTACCCTCCCTCCTTTTTCAGTGCCAGCTCCTGGTATACTTGCTGGTGATATATGGGTGTTGGCTTCACTTGCACTATTACTGTGATTATGACACTGATTCTTTCTTTGCCCATTCTTGTGCACTCTTACTCATTTCCCAAAACAACAACTCTAAGAAGTCTTCACTGATTCTCCTGGTTTCTTAACTCCCTCAGTGCTACCTTCATGTTTGTATTCAAGTAGGGAATATAAATATGTAAACATGATTACAATAGAATATGCATTGTTGAGGGCAGAGACGGTGCCTTACTAAATGTTTTTTAAATTTTTAATGACTTCCTCAGTGCCTTACATATGGTACCTACTCAGAACAGTAAAGAAAATTGCTACTAATGGACACATGTATGTTGTTTAATATACAGATCTTAAACTCAACTACCTTTTAAAAAACCACATTGAGAGGCAAGAGATGTAGAAGCTGTAGGAGAGTGTGTGGACAGGAGCAGTAAAATCAAAGATAAATTTTTAAAACTAGAGGCCCGGTGCATGGGATTTGTGCACTGGTGGGGGACGTGGCCTGCAGGGATGGGCCTGCTGTGGGAGCGCCACTCATCCCAGTCTGCCGAGTGGCGGTGGACCCACCCTCTGAGCAGCTGCTCCCTGGTCCGGCATCTTCCGTGGAGCTGGAGCACTTGCCTCTCCAGGGGACCCGGTCAGGGCTGGGCCCAGGGACAATAGCTCTGAGAGGTGGTGCAGTAAGCCTCAGTCCCATGGCAGCCACGAACCTGCCTCCCAGCCTCCAGGGTCAGCTCTTCGAGCCCAGTGGCAGCACTGCACGGCCTGCAGGCATCTGGAGGAGGCGGTAGGGAGCGAGGAGGAGGAGCCTGGGTCGAGGAGGCAAGGATCACAGCCCAAGTTCCTGCCCATCAGCCTGGGGTTCGCGGGAGCAGCTGCTCATCATGGTCAGCCGAACAGTGCTCCCACTGTGGTAGCACACTGACCACCAGGGAGCAGCTCCTGCGTTGAGCGTCTGCCCCCTGGTGGTCAGTGTGCATCATAGCGACTGGTCGACCAGTCTTTCTGGTCATCCCGCCATTCGGTCGATGGGCTTTTATTACATAGGATATGTCTTTGTATTTATTTTAGAGGGAGAGGAAAGGAGAAGGAGAGAAAGAGAAACATTGACATGAAAGAGAAACATTGAGTGGCTGCCTCCTGCATGCCCCCCACTAGGATCGAGCCCACAACCCGGGTATGTGCCCTTGACCGGGATCAAACCCTGGACTCTTCAATCCGCAGGCTGCCTCTCTATCCATTGAGCCGAACCATGTAGGGCTGTATGAGTTCTTTGTATATTTTGGGTATTAATGCCATGTTGGAGCTATTGTTTGCAAATATCATCTCCCATCCCATTGGTTGCCCTATTGTTTTGTTGTTGGTCTATTTTGCTGTGCAGAAACATTTTAGTTTGATATGGTCCTACTCAATTATTTTTGCCTTTACTTCCCCTTGCCTTTGGGGTCAAATTCATATGTTCTCTACAACTCAGGTCCATAAGTTTAGTACCTATGTCTTCTTCTGTGGATTGTATTGTTTCAGATCCTATATTTAGATCTTTGATCCATTTCGAATTCATTTTTGTACAAGGGGACAAACTATAATCTGGTTTCATTCTTTTGCATGTGGCTTTCCAATTCTCCCAGCATCATTAATTGAAGAGGCTTTCTTTTCTGCATTGTGTGTTTTTGGCTCCTTTGTTAAAAATTGTTTGCCCAAATACCTGTGCTTTTATTTCTGGGTTCTCAATTCTGTTCCATTGGTCTGTGTGTCTGTTCTTCTGCCAATACCATGTTGTTTTGATTATTGTAACTCTGTAGTATAATTTGAAGTCAGGTAATGTGATATACCTCTGGCTTCATTCTTTATAAATGGAGTACATTTTAAAGTGGGCATTTGAGTTGCCTGTGAGTATATTTTGCTTGCAAGCTCATAATATGAAAATATGCTTTGATTTTTTTATTAACTGTATTGTCAGGCAATTAGAATTTATGTAGTTTTTCTTCAGTTACTTTTGCTGACTCAGAAGCTTAAGCTGGCACTGTGTGTTGGCAATGAACTCTACTGATCTGGGTTCTGGGTAAATTTGAAAAGTATTTCCTCTTCTCTATAATAATTTATTGCTAATGGGTACATGAGTATATTTCAGCAGGCATCAGAAAGAAAAAGCAAGGGACAAAAATGCTTTTTCTCTGGTTCTTAAACTAATAATCAAGAAATGTTCTTTGTTTTAAATAAGGTTAAGTATTGAGAATTAAATGTAAAAAAAATCACTATTATATGTAAGAAATAACATAATAGAGCAAGCCCCATGATACAAATAAAGGGAGGTAAGTGTCTCCTCTTGCTCTTTATGTGCTCACTCTCCCCCTTATATCCAGCTTTAGCCATTTCAGCTTATCTAACTGTCTCGGACCTGAACAATCACTCTAATTCCTAATTATTTTCCCCTCACAGAAAGTGACAACTCCTTTGTTTTAGTTTATATTTTTGCATATGTCTGCATTCTAGCAGTGCAGCTACTGTACAGCAATCTGAGGCACTTTCTCTTGCACCTAGACTACCCCTCGAAGACCATCGATGAAGTCCCTACCCCTTTTCCTTTCTGAGAGCCAGGTTTTCTTTCCCTTTAGTGGGCACTAAACAGAAGCAATGTTCCTTTCTCTTTTTCATACATAGGTGACATCCAACAGCTAGTTAAGAAACTTAACTGCTTCTTAATGCCCAGTACTTCCGTTGGCAAAACTTGCAGGGCTTAGCGCAAAGGTCCTACTGTCTAGTTATGTTTTCAGTGAGAACCAGCTATCTTCTTCCTCATCTTTTTATTTATCTTGTCACAACTTTTCTCAGAATGATTTAATATAATAAGCATTTTGTAGACATTCTAGTGTACTTACCTTAAGTTAGATTATATAGCTATTTGATGTTGTGGGTGATGCTGTGAATTTGTGATTTGCATGGCTTCAGATGTCATAATTTTTCCCCCACTTTCTAGGAAGTAACAGCTAGCAGTCGCCACTATGTTGACAGGCTATTTGACCCTGATCCCCAGAAAGTTCTACAAGGTGTCATGTAAGTAGTATGTATTTAAGAGTCTATCAAGTCTTGTTTGTTTTCATGTTTGAATCTGCCAAATAAATATTATAATTCTGAAAATGCAGGAAATTTTTTCTGCCATATTGGAAAGTCCCCTTAACAGTCATGACTTTAATATTGTACTGTTAAAGAATTGTCTGTTGTATAGTTAACTGACATGGCTAGCTTCATTTTTTTATAGGATACTTGTTTTACATTTAAAAAAATGTTGCTTTGGAGAATGCTTTTGTGACTTTAATCTCCAGCAAAAGCAAGAGAATAAAATTGATGATCTTTTATAATTGAAAAGGGTTAGGAGAAGAGCTCAGAGGATTTTCTGTTTGTTTTGATTTTGGTTAACTCAACTGTCTCTAAGGTTCTAATACACTAATGATGTCTTAAAAATCAGAATTTAGAAAGCAGTCATTAGAAATTTAAATAAACTCTTGATAACATAAATGCCCTTCTTTTATCTAAAATTCCATGTTTAATGAGAGGAAGTATTTTTTTTTATTTCTTAAAGTATTACAAAGAGTATTACACATGTCTCCTTTTTTTTCCCCCTTGACATTCCCCCGGCTTCCCCCACCCCCCAGTGTCTTGTGTCCATTAGTTATTCTCATATGCATGCATGTAAGTCCTTCGGTTGATCTCCTACCCGCCCCCCCAACCCTCCCTAGGGTTCCCACTGTAGTTTGACATTCTGCTCAATGCTGCTCTGCCTCTGTAACCATTTTTGTTCATCCGTCTATAATGGTTCTTATTATCCATAAATGAGTGAGTTCATGTGGTATTTTTCTCAGCTTCCCAGGGGCCATCTCAGTCTCACAGGGGCCATCTCAGTCTCACAGGGGCCATCCCAGCCTCACAAGGGCCGTCCCAGCCTCACAGGGGCCGTCTCAGCCTCACAGGGGCCGCCTCAACCTCACAGGGGGAGAGGAAGTATTTTTAAACAACATACCTGAAGTGATTGATTATGCTTTAAAAAATTAATTGGGACAAATGTGATAAGATTGTAACTGATTGAAAGACAGAATTCTCCAAAGTGCAGATTATCATGCACTTAACACCGTAGTTCTAAGTGATAAGGTTTAGCCTAAGGGAACCACATAGCACCTGCAGGCCGAACAAGAGCTTCTTCAGTTAAGCAAAAAGTAATACTGGTTCAAAGTGAAAGTGACATAATGGATCTTTTAGCTTCAGGCTCCCACCTTCAATAATTTTAAAAATAATTTTCCGGTTTTACATAATATTATGTTTTCACCTAAAACTTATGCTATTTTGATTGTTTAGGAATAAATATGCTTATACACGACTGACTGAAACTGTTTCTCCAGCAGAGCTAGATCTCAATTCTTTTCTTACTTTTTCTACTGTTTTAATGGCACTATGCAATGCTTACTTTCTCTCTTGGTTTTGATCACCATCATAATACTCTTAATTTAGACATATGCCATTGTAGGCACTGTATATGTTGTTTTAATAGTTGAGCCTTTTCTCTTTACCATGCAAAGACAAGAAGTAGAAACATTAATTTCCATGTAAAATTAAGTGCCTCTTGAGTTTATTTATTAGTGGGCAAATTTAAGATTCTAGCTAGATTTCAGCTAAAAATGTTTAGACAATTGCATGTTTGTAACATCTTAATATTGGTTCTTGTTTTCCAATTCTCAAAGAATGGCATATCCCCAAGGCTTACTTTTTTGGCTTTTTTATCTGGATATTCTTATCTCACCTCAGAGAGAATTCAGTGTGTCCAAAATTAAGAGAGATCCTTGTATTGCTAAGGGATTTATTCTCCAAGCTTCTTGGTGTTCTCTGCACCCAGGCACCCAGACTTGAAGTAGTCACTCAAGATATGTCACATATCACATATCCTGTACCTATGAAATCACCTTGTTAAATGCTTCCTCAAAAGTCCTTTGTATTAATGATTCCTATGGTTGCCACCCTAATCAAGTGTCACAACTAGATACCTGGATAGACTAATTCCTTTAACAAACATTTGTTGAGTGCCTAGCAAATTCTAGGCATCGTGATAGTGTGGAACTATCCTATACAATAAAAGGCTAATATGCAAATCGACCAAACAGCAGAATGACTAGTCGCTATGACACGCATTGACCACCAGGGGGCAGATGCTCAACGCAGGAGCTGCTCCCTGGTGGTCAGTGCGCCAGAAGCCAAGTCACGGCTGGCTAGCGCAGTGGCAGTGGCGGGCGCCTCTCCCCCCTCCATGGCAGTCGGACATCTGCTTAGGACCCTCCTTCCCCCGAGTGTAGGAATTTCATGCACTGGGCCTCTAGTATAATGATAAAGTAGTACTGCTCTGGAAGATCCAAAAGTCTAAAGGAGGAGACAGATAACTAAAGAGATAGTCGCCATAGTTTGATTAGTGAATGATAAGTGCAGGTGGCCTTGGTGTACCACAAAGGAAGGGCATTAGCCATTTAGTTATCTCTCTTAAGTAATATCTGCATTCCAATCCATTCCACATTCAGCTTATTGTCCTTATTGCTTCCTTCATGTTTGTTTTCTGATCAAAAACATGGTTGCTCCTTAATCCTTCTCCCTTTAGTTTATCTGTTCTCCCCATCACTTTTCTAATTTTATGTTCCTAAATAATTTTCAGTCCAGGCTTCTGGTACTGTCCCAGAAATATGCCATTTTTATTTTCAGGATGGTCTTACCTGAGTGGCTTTTCTTTTTGCCCTCCCCATCCACTTATTCAGATCTTGGCCATTTTCTAAGGTTCATCTTAGTTCTCACTATTGCCTCAAAATCTTGTCCTTTTCATGTACTTTTCTCAGCCCTATAAGCACTCAATTTATAATATAGCCTTACATTGTTAGTGTTATTTTGGTCTTTCCAAGGAAATTGTAAACTCTTTAGATCAAGCATCCCATTATATGATACTTTTGTATCCTTCATAGAGCCTAGCACATGCTGAGCTCAAAACTAATTGTTGGCTATCTGTAGTATATAAGTAGGGCGTTTTCCCCCCAACATTAAAAGTTGGTAGACCTGCGACTATATTCCTTTGATCTACTGGGAAAAGGATGTCTTTGACTGAAAGTTAGAAATACTTTTATTTTGTATAAAAATGTAAAATTGAAACACAGGAAGAAGAAGGGAAACATATTTCCTGAATTCTTTTGTCTTTTTTATTAGATTGTTCCAAATGCCTGATAGGCCGGAGGTAATGGAAAAAATACGTGGTATAAAAATATAGGTTTAGCCCTAGCCAATTTGGCTCAGTGGATAGAGCGTCAGCGTGTGGACTGAAGAGTCCCAGTTTTTATTCCCAGTCAAGGGATGTATCTCAGTTACAGGCTCCATGCAGGCCTTGGTTGGGGCATGTGTGGGAGGCAACCAATCAATGTTTCTCTCACATCATGTTTCTCTCTGTCTCTTTCCCTCTCTCCCACTCTCTCTAAAAATCAATGGAAAAATATCCTTGGGTGAGGATTAACAGAAAAATATGTATGTAGGTTGATACCAGCTCTCTCATTTAATACCAGCTCTCTCATTTAATGTGGAGCTCTGAGAAAATCCCCAAACCTTAGTCTAGCTTCCTCATCTGTAAAGTGGGGTTAATCTTACTCAAGGTTGTGATGAAGATTAAATAAACAATGGCTATGGAATGCTTTATAAACTTCAAAGCAGTATATAAATCTTGCACAGATCTGTTGTGCTTCCATGTCAGATGATAGTTATGAGTTTGCATTTTACAAAAATATGGATTTCTATATGGTACATTTTATGGTCCACTGATAGTAGCTTCTCTGATGGTTCCAGGCCAGGATGGCTTTATTGCCTCTTATGAGACAGATTTCTATCCTAAAAAGTAATGAGTGTGTTATGATAGAGGGTACCTGGGAGGGCCATCTAACCCATACCTGGGAGTTGTCAGGTCATGCTTCTTGGAGGAAGTGACATGACAACAAAGTGTGGACCTGAAAAGTGAGTAGTTAGCCCAGGAAGTGAGGGGATAAGGAGATGAGAGAATAGTTATTGGAACAAGAGACTTCATCTAGCTGGCTCTGGCTCTGAAATGGGATCCTACGCTGTACTTAGATCTGCTAAAGATGGGTATTGTGATAATTATCATCTTTTTTTTGTTTTAACTCTTTCATAGAAATTATAGCATCCCTTTATAGCAATAGCTGAATAGAATTTATTTGCCAGGTATTCGCATCTCTTCTTCCTTGTCTAGCATGGGCATATTTTACTGGTTAGAGCTGGCTCCTCTGTGTCCTTTTTGCAAACTTTTAAGAGTACTGGACAGTTGGAAGGGTTTTTGTTTGCTTTTCTAAAAACATTCACTCGGACATGATTTCAGATATTTGGAATGTGTTTATATGGTAATGTGGGGATACCTCATTTCTGCTTAGTTTAGGAAAAATGGGGAGAAATCTGGGAAAATGTTATGGTTGGGAGTTCCAGGAAAGAGAGAGCATCCAGAATGGCACCAATAGATAGCTGCTGGACAAATGAATGTGCCGCATTGGTGTAGGCAGATCACAGTAAGAGAAGGAAAGAAGATGAGGTAAATGGCATACTGCTCTGTTTGGGTGTGTAAGCTGATAATTTCGAAGTAAGCTTTAAGAAAACTGCAGGCATCCACAAGGAGGCAGGAGGCTGGATGTCCAGTCTCACAACTATCTTTTGCTAAATGAGGCTTTGATATCACGTAGTTTTAAAATCAAGTATCAGAACTTGGTAAGAACCTTAGTAAGCAAATAATACTCCTACTATACTCTGTGAACCATATGGAAGATCTGACTGATAGTTCACAGAGACAGCTCAGGCACTGAGCTAATGAAAGAAGACTGGGTAGATGCACAGTATTTGGCTTGAGCTTTCAGCAGAGCGCTATGCCATAGTAGTATTTTTCTGCAATAATCAAAGAAGGTAATGGAGGAGAAGGATATTATAATTATTACTAGGCTTTTAAATGCCAGTGAATTTGGTTGGTATTGGAAATACATGCTGACTGTAACAATTAGTTGTTGGTGTTTTTTAAAGTAACCCCCCCACCCCCCCTCCGTTTTCTACTCTGCTTTTCTACAAGATAATGGTTTGCCAACTATGGAACTTTTTTAGGATTATAACTTTCAGTGTTAACAAAAAATTCCTATATATTGTAGAGTTCTGCCACCTAGAAGAGGGGAAGTCAAAAGAGATGCTGGTCAAGTATCTAGGGGAGCTTATTTGGGGCTAGAAAGAAAGGGTGAGCTAAGAACTTCAAGGCTCTATAGCAGCGGTTCTCAACCTGTGGGTCGTGACCCCTTTGGGGGTTGAACGACCCTTTCACAGGGGTCGCCTAAGACCATCGGAAAACATATATAATTACATATTGTTTTGGGTGTTTTTAAAATATATTTTATTGATTTTTTATAGAGAAGGGAGAGGGATAAAGAGTTAGAAACATCGATGAGAGAGAAACATCGATCAGCTGCCTCCTGCACACCCCCCACTGGGGATGTGCCCACAACCAAGGTACATGCCCTTGACCGGAATCGAACCTGGGACCCTTCAGTCCGCAGGCCGACGCTCTATCCACTGAGCCAAACCGGTCAGGGCTTACATATTGTTTTTGTGATTAATCATTATGCTTTAATTATGTTCAATTTGTAACAATGAAAATACATCCTGCATATCAGATATTTACATTACCATTCATAACAGTAGCAAAATTACAGTTATGAAGTAGCAACGAAAATAATTTTATGGTTGGGGGTCACCACAAAATGAGGAACTGTATTAAAGGGTCGCGGCATTAGGAAGGTTGAGAACCACTGCTCTATAGCAATGGCCTTAATGCTATCGGACCTGACTTCCCCTTATAAATATTTTGTAACATCCCCTGTACTGTGCTGAAATTAAATCCATAATATAACCAACTCACATACATAACTAAAAATAATGCCTTCCCTCCATATACTATAAAGGAGAAATAAAAAAGAAGGTAATTTCTAATGTTTCAATATGTAAATGCTTAGGTGGGACTATGTTAGAAAACTTAATACAGCAGTGTGAATGCAAGGACTACAAATGTGGGCTGATACAATTGTATGGTATTTATGACTCCTATACCATAAGTGCCAGTATGCTAGTGATCTGATTTTCCAAAATGAAATAACTCCTAACAAAAAGTATAATCTCCCTTTTTATTTATAGGGTGGGTATAATACTGAAAATTATATGTATTTTTAAAACTGCAAAAATATGCTTTCTATTTGTAAAACTATGACCAGAAATTTTTAGAAACCTCAAACTTTTGAAATCCCTGTAGGGGGCTGTAATGTCCTCTTTCCCTCTTTGAGAACCACTGCTATGTAGATCACTTATATTAAGATAGGGCTACTGACCAATCAGAGTATTTTTTGTAGTATATCTTTATTGATTTCAGAGAGGAAAGGAAAGAGAGATAGACAGATCAATGATGGGAGAGAATCATTGATTGGCTGCCTCCTGCACGTCCCCTGGGAATCAAGCCCACAGCCTAGGCATGTGCCCTTGACCAGAATCGAATCTGGGATCCTTCAGTCCACAGGCTGACGCTCTATCCACTGAGCCAAACCAGTTAGGGCCAGAGTATTTTTTTTAATATTTTTTTATTGATTTCAGATAAGAAAGAGAGGGAGAGAGAGATATAGGAACATCAATGATGAGAGAGAATCATTGACCAGTCGCCTCCCACATGCCCCAGGCATGTGCCCTTGACTGGAATCAAACCAGGGACCTTTCAGTCTGCAGGCCAATGCTCTATCCACTGAGCCAAACCAGCTAGGTCCAATCAGAGTATTTTTATTAAACATTTTATTAGTGGTATTAGGTTTATTTTGAGCTTTTTTTTTCCTGTCCTTTGGGACCAACCACATGTTTGTGAATCAATTGGTCATTAATAGGAGATACTCTATCAATACAGTTTTATTCCTGGTGAAGTAAAGATGTGAGTTTAGCTAGAATAAAAATTACTGATGAATATGTAAGAAATATAAAACATTTATTTTTAAATCTCCTTAAAAGATAATTGGCTGCTTAAGCAAACATAGTAACAATATATTCTATTGTTTCTAATTAATTTAAAAATAAAACGTGTGACTGTAGCAGCTTAAAGAATGGATGGAGAAGTGGAAGTACATATTTTTGCAGTGCTCTTACAATACACATAAAATGAGGATAATATCCCTTGAAGACTGTTGAAACGTGCACATTATAGGTTGCAAAGCAACCACTAAAAAACAACAGAACAAAACCCAAAGAGGTACAGCTAATAAGATAATAAAGGAGATAAAATAGAATAAGAAATATTCAGTCCAAAAGAAGTCAGAAAAAAAGAGTAAAAAAGTCATTCTCCCTGAAACAGGATCAGGTATGTTCTGTGGACTGGTTGCTTTTATTTTCCCCTCCCAGATGTAAGTAAGAAGGTGATCTGTATTTCTTTATATTCAAAGGCTTGGTGGCCTTTTTTGAAGAACTCAGCATTTAGTATTGGAAGTCTTGCCAGTACTCAGGATATCTCCACTCCCCCAGTCCACTGCTATCCTGTTTTACAGCCCCAGGTTCACTCAGCACCTATTTCTGTCCCTTCTCTTTGGCGTTCCAGGGGGGAAAGGTCAGTGCATTGACTTTGTCACTAACTTCTGTACTTGCCAACCCAAGATGTGGCATAATAAACATAAAGTGGAAGAATTGATCTTTGATTTTTATGCTATGATATTTCAACATATTGTACCCTTTTCTCTTCCCCTGAATTCAGAGACATGAAAAATGCTGTAATTGGAAACAACAAGCAGAAAGCCAACCTCATTGTTTTAGGAGCTGTCCCAAGGTATGTTTGCTATCATTCCATTATCTACTAATTCTAATGTATTTCTCATTCTCAACCATAAGACTAATATTTTTTCTGTATTGCCTATTTTATTTTTGAAAAGCCTCTTAATTTTCTAAATTAATGCCATGAGTTCTTTGAAGCATCTGTAAAAAACAAAACAAATTAAAATACCAGAGAATGGGCAGTGAAGTGAATGTATGAATACTTTTTGGAAATTCGGGAAGATCATTGACTCTGCAATAAAAGATTGTTGGATAGAGAGGCAATGTACACCAACCTGATTCATTCTTCCCGATCTACTGCGAGCCTTGGCAGTTTTTTGTATGAATGGATAACAATTTCTCAGGATTTCAAAATCTGTTTTTGAATTAAAAAGAGAGAGAGACCTGGTTGGTCTTTAATTCTGTTTTTCTGTATTTAATTTCTAATTAAAAAAATTTTTTCTAAGTTAACAGAAAGTTTGATTTCTTCTGATCTAATAAGCTTCCTTTTGGCAGATAATGTCAGTTGTATAACTTTCGATTTGCTGTTACTACTCAGAACTAAGTTTTATGTGCAGTTGCTGTAAGTTTTTCATTCAGAATTTTTAAATGTTTTGGGGTTTTTCTGTTATCTTTTGATATAGGATTAATGGTTGTATTGTTTTTATCATAACCAACTTCGAATATATACTTTAGTAACCATAAAGCACTCAGTAGCCTTTTTAGAGGATTAGTGTCCAGTATATAAATATGATTTAGGGCATGGCCAGTGTTGCTCAGTGGTTGAGCATTGACCCATGAACCAAGAGGTCATCAGTCGATTCCCAGTCAGGGGGGCACATGCTCAGGTTGCAGGCTCGATCCCCAGTAGGGGGCATGCAGGAGCAGTCGATTGATGATGTTTCTCTTTCATTGATGTTTCTATCTCTCTATCCTTCTTCCCTCCTCTCTCTAGAAATCAATAAAAGCATATTTTAAAAAATAAATATGCTTTAGGGAGCATGAGAGTTCTTCCTTAGAATAAGGAAGATGGTCATAAGTGGTGGATAGCCCTGACCGGTTTGGCTCAGTGGATGGAGCGTCGGCCTGCGGACTGAGGGGTCCCGGGTTTGGTTCTGGTCAAGGGCATGTGCCTTGGTTGCGTGCACATCCCCAGTGGGGAGTGTGCAGGAGGCAGCTGGTCGATGTTTCTCTCTCATCGATGTTTCTAACTCTCTATCCCTCTCCTTCTCCCTTCCTCTCTGTAAAAAATCAATGGAATATATTGGGGGGAAAAATAAGTGGTGGATAATTAGAATTTGAAGAGTAGTTGTTTGGAAGGCTGAGCTGAAATGAAAATGGGAGGATCCCCTGATTCCCAAATGGGAGAATTGAAGAAAGAGGAGAGTTCCCCTTACTTGAAGAGCTGCACAAGGATTCTGAATATTCCTTGTAGGCTCAACCTTTGTGATCTCTAAGCTATAGCTCTGGTTATTCAAGGTCCATATCTAGTCTGAATGTAAGACCCAGCAGCACTTGGCATTGGTTGTCTTCATATTCTGAAGTGGCAGATAACAGGGACTGTGATGTTGCAGTTTCTACAGAGACCACTTTAGACAACTTTTACACTTATAGTTCTGATACACTCTTGAGATTATATGATTATTCTTTTGCTCAAAATGAAGAAAATCTTTTAGATTTCTTTTCCAAACACTTCTTTATTAAATTATCAGCTGATGAAACAAATGACCATTTCCTATCCTCTATAAGCTTGTCAACAGTATTTTTAGTACATGTGGTGTATTGGTAGTCTTTTTTTGTCACATTAGTTTTAGCTAATTTACTTTCGTTTAAGTTTTTTAGTCTCTTCTGTTTATCAAATTCATTCTTTTTAGATTGTTGTACTTGCTTCAGCAAGAAACCTCAAGTACAGAGCTGAAAACTGAATGTGCAGTGGTATTGGGAAGTCTTGCTATGGGTACTGAAAACAATGTCAAGTCTCTATTAGATTGCCATATCATCCCTGCCTTACTGCAAGGTATGTAGGGAAGTCATATTTATACAAGTAAAAATAAGAATCAGTTTGCAGTTTTAAATATGGCTGAAAAGATGAACCTTAAATTTATTTTCTGTTAATAGGACTGTTATCTCTAGACCTGAAGTTCATTGAAGCTTGCCTTCGATGTCTGCGCACCATCTTCACCAGTCCCGTCACTCCAGAGGAGTTATTGTATACAGTGAGTTTTAGATGTTTTTAATCATCAGTTACATTCACTGTCATCATACTTCTAATCTATTTAGCATCTCAAGATTCAACTGTGTTACATTATAAAAAGGTCTCAAGAAGTACTAATTCTTGCTAATTTGCAAATGTCAAATAATCTAGGCTTTGTAAAGAAGTGAAAGATAGTCTCAGACCTTGAGGGATTTATAAGCTATTTTTTAAGACCCATTTTGATCTCTTACTACATACAAATTAAGGTAACATATTTAATGCTAAATGAGTGATAGGGAGCTCTGCTCATTCTAGGTTAAATCCAGCAGAGAAGACTATATAGAGAAGCTAGAATTTGACCTGGGTCTTAAATAATGGATAAGATTTAGAGAGTAAAGAGGCCAGTCTAGGAGAGAACTGTGTAAGAGAATATGCAGGATAGCGGGCAGGATAGTCTAATGCAGGAGGGGTATCAGTGTTAGTTTCAGTTGGAGAGGTGGAGCAGAATCAGCTTGCAAGAGCCTGATTTGCCAGGCTAGAACAGAAAATTCATGTGAGATAATCCAAAGATCTTTGGAATCATTCAGTAGTTTTCACAAACCTCAGGGATTATTAGGGGATGTTTTTATTTGTGGGTTACATGGTGCTTTCTAAATGAAAATTATCCAGGCTAATAACTTTCAAATACTTCTATCCACAATCTACAGTAAGAAATATATTTTTTATTGCCACACTGTGCATATGTGCAAATTTGTGTGTGTGTGTGTGTGTGTGTGTGTGTGAGAGAGAGAGAGAGAGAGAGAGAGAGAGAGAGAGAGAGAGACCTGAGGTGGTCTTCACAAAACAGTTCCATAAATGTGATGCCCTCTGGTTTCTATTACATCCTTTTTCATTTAAAAAAAAATGCTGGTTGTGATTCTGAGCCAACACAAAGAATCAGAATGTCAAATCTGACACATGTGAATCAGAAATCTTGCCCAGAATCATGCTTTACAAATATTTCAAGAACATAAGCAATCAAGAGGCAAAATAATCAGAGATGGGGGACGTGTCACGTGGCTTCATAATCCATCCTTCCCACATCAGACACGTGTTCCCCTGGCTGGTAATGATACATCTTATATAATAAAAGCCTAATATGCTAAGTGTCTGGTTGTCCAGTCTGTTCAACCAATCAAAGAGTAATATGCTAATGTATGCTAAGGCCACTCAACCGCTTGCTATGATGTGACTGACCACCAGGGGGCAGACAGTTGACCGGTCAACCAGTCACTATGACGTGCACTGACCACCAGGGGGCAGTCCATCCGACCGGTAGGTTAGCTTACTGTTGGGGTCCAGGCGATCTGGACGGGCTGGACATGCCCAGGAGCCCTCCCATGGTCCCTCTTCAGCTGGTCAACCTCCCACGTCCCTCCCCCGCCCCGGTCATGCACTGCTGGGGTTCCTTGGCCTGGCCTGCGCTCTCTTGCAATCTGGGACCCCTTGGGGGATGTCAGGGAGCCGGTTTTGGTCCGATCCTGCAGGTCAGGCTGAGGGACCCCACTGGTGCATGAATTCGTGCACCGGGCCTCTAGTAGTATTATAAAGGAGGTTTGTGAGTCACCTCGAACAGCAGGGAGGCTCTAAATGACACATCTCAATTGTATATGTCAGGGATTTGTGTGACATTCTTCAGGGAGCTATGCCTCATAAATCTGGAAAGTGTATACTGCAGTGGTTCTCAAACTTGAGCATGCTCAGAATTGCCTGGAGGTCTTGTTAAATACAGATTGCTGGACCTTACCTAGAGTTTCTGATTCACTGATCTCGGTGGGGCCTGAGAATTTGCATTTCTCACAAGTTTCCAGGTAACTTAAGTGCTGCTGGTCCTTGGAGTACTCTTTGAGAACTACTAGTACTATAAGCAGTCCCTACATTGGTAATTCTCCTCACAGCATTCCACAGGGCTCTCCTCCTAGTAAACATCAGTCTGTTTTCCTAAGGTCCTAGTGTCTTATTTACAAAGAGGTTAAACCAGTCACTAGTCTTCTTTACTCTAAGTCAGTGATTTTCAACCAGTGTGCTGCAAGAATTTTTAAAACATGCAATACCTGATTAGTCAGGGGCACTGACCTCTTTTCCCTTAGATTGTCAGATAAAAAAATGATAACAGCCAACACAATAGTCATCCGATGTGAATGAATCAAAATTACACCTATTTTATTTTATTTTATTTTGTGAGTTCGGGGGAAAACATAACATTTTTTGGTGTGCTGCAGGATTTTTAGTAGTTTATGTGTGCCATGAGATGAAAAAGGTTGAAAATCACTGCCCTAGAAGTTTCTCGTTAACCCCCAGCCCAGTCAGTAATAGAGGGAAATTGATCCTGGCCAGCTGTCTTAACTACTTCCTCCTCATACTCTAAACTTATTTCATAACCCACTAATGAATTATAGTGCATAATTTGGAAAACTCTGATTGATGCCAACTTAACTTTCTAACATGAAAAAAATTAAGACTCAAGGACATTGCGTGACTTTCACAGTAAGAACTTGTAAATTATGAAGCATCTCAATTTTATGCCTCAGAGACCATGGAGAATCCATGAAAAGTGTTGGGTAGGATAATGACAGAGTGTAGTGCTATATGGGACAGTGAAGAGGCCAGCTGCCGAGGCAACTCGGGCACTAAACGGAAGACAGCAGCCAGATTGGAAGAGGGCAGGATGTCTAGTTTGAAGTCTCATTATCCAGTGAGCAAATTATATTAACTATTCTTTGCATGTTTACTCAACTGTAAACTGCAAATATATGACAGAATTGGCAGAAAGGGGGGCAGGTATGAAGAAATGCAGGAATGAAAAAATGAGAAAAAGGAGATTTTTGGAGAGCCCTGCAGCAAGTTGGGTGGATTCTTCTCTCTTTTGTACCATCATGTATGTTGCTAAGTGTCAATAGAGAGTATGCTATAAATGAGAAGTTGCTATTGCAAAGATTGACTTACCTAACTATAGTCATTGTGAGAGATTGCTACTGATTACTGATACTTACCATAACATCTCAGAAGTCATAATTGCCAAGTTTATTTTTATACAAATTGTATTTTATACAATAATGAGATTCGTGCACTGGGGGTTGGAGGGCGTGTTCCTCAGCCCAGCCTGTGCCCTCTCGCAGTCCGGGACCCCTTGCTCTTTACTGGAAGCGGGAGAGGCTCCCACCACTGCCATCCCGCCACTGCACTTGCCAGCCATGAGCTTGGCTTCTGGCTGAACAGCACTTCCCCTGTGGGAGCACACTGACCACCAGGGGGCAGCTCCTGCATTGGTGGTGCGCATCATTGCGACCGGTCATTCCATCTTTCAGTCGATTCGCATATTACGCTTTTATTATATAGGATTCCTCCTTATAAGCTATTTATTATTGTATATCTTTACCTCACATTTGGGTTTCAGAATAGATTTCTGTCAAGTCTTACTGAAATGATTTTGTTTTATTGTGAGAATATAGGCTGTTTATGGGAAAGAAATTGAGAATTTTCTGTTTTTGTATTTTATTGTCGATTGATGAACATTAAAGCCCTTCTCCTTATTCTTTGCCCAGACAGTTTTGGTGGCTATATTGCTTTTGTTTTCCAGTGTTTCTTAAGCAGATCTGATTTACTGTTATTAAGATAAGAGGCTTACATAAGTACCTGCTCATGGAAATAGTTCGTTATATGTGCTCCACATGCCTAAGTTTCTTGTTGCTGTGCTTTCCTTCCCTTCAACTCCAGGATGCTACGGTGATACCACACCTCATGGCGCTGCTTAGCAAGTCCCGTTACACCCAGGAGTACATCTGTCAGATCTTCTCACACTGCTGTAAAGTAAGAACCAGAATAAATAGTCAGTGTAATGTAAAATCTTATATGCCCTAAGGAGATGTGCCTGTGTATATCCTCCAGAGATAACCTGTACATATAAGCAGACCTCTGCATATATGCCCTCCCCCTCCTTTTTCTGAAATAAATGAAAGTATACCATGCATACTTTCTGCACCTTGCATTTTTCACTTAACATAATTTGAAGGCTATTCCATATCAGTACATAAGGAGCTCCCTTATTCTTTTCTTACAAACAGTCATATAGTGTAGATGTTCAGTAATTTATTTAACTAGTCCTCTGTTGTTGGACATTTAGCTTGTTTCCCATCTTAATATTATTACAAAACAATGCTGCAACAAATACCTTGTATGTAAGATATTTTATAAGAAATGGAATTGCTGCATCTAAGAGTGTATGCATTTGTAATTTTATCATACACTGTCTTGTGTAGAGGTGGTACCATTTTTACTCCTACCAGCAGTGTGTGATCATGACTGCTTCCCTACACCTTCAGTTTCCACATTGTTGGAAATTATTTTAAGTGATCTCTTACAAGCAGAACTGAGAGGTTATTCTGCTCTTTGTTGAGAGAAATTTCTGTTACTTAAGGGACCTGAACCTAACCTGACGAGTTGAAGTGCTACTTATTTTGTTTCATAGTTTACACATTGAGTGTACTCTTTTGATAGCAATGGGTGATTATTTGAGATCTTTCATAATTTCTACACATTTGCTAACTTCTAACCAAGTAATTATTTATCATCTGATGATTCTGTAAGTTTTCAGGGCAACATTACTCACCTGTCATTTATAATACAAATACAAAGTAAGGAGTTTGGGGAACTATAGGAAAGATGGGAAAGAGAAGTGAACACCTACATACTAAACTAGGAAGATCACAGATCACATTTTAGAACAGTTTCCCAAATAAAAGAAAATTAAATAATTTGGTTCCATAAAAATTATCTATTGATTATAATTTAAATGTTTAAACCCCTTCCCAAATCCTAAAGGAAGTTCACAGCCCACTTAATTCTATTTTAAGACATTTAGAATTGAAGATTTTTGTCAAAAATCTTTGAAGTTTTCCAGTCGGAGAAAGATAAATATCACATGATCTCACTCATTTGTGGGATATAATGATCAACATAATTTGATGAACAAGAATAGATCCAGAGACAATGTCAGGGGACGGGAGCGGGGTTGGGTTAGAGAGCAACCAAAGAACTTGTATGCATGCATATTAGCATAACCAATGAACACAGATGCTGGGGCGGTGGGGGCTTGCCCAGGGTGGGAATGGCTGGGCGGGGCGGGGGCATGGGGTGTCAATCGGGGGAAAAGGAGACATATGTACAACTTTAGGCAATAAATAAATAAATAAATAAATAATCAATCAATCAATCAATCTTTGAAGTTTCTCTTCCCAGATTGCTTTGACAGTGTGTAAGCTGACTCACAGGACCAGGGATGTCAAATGATCCCTTAACTTTTACAATATGTGGTAAAGTTACAAATACACATTTTGATTCAAGGAAAGGCTTTAAGAAAACAGTACTTTTGTTGAAATTCATTTTACTAAAAATGAGCTAACCTAACAGGGTCTAAAATCTTTCAACAATGAAATGATGTCTTGTAGCTGTAGCTGGCCCTGGCAGGTAGAAAAGAATACTCCAGAACTCTGTGCATCATTACAAATCTTTGAGAACCTATACCCAAGTGTGCTCGAAAACACAGCATCTACTAGTTATAACTACAGTAATCCCAAAAGGGCACTGGAGATTGGACCTAGATGTAATAACTACTGCATGTCAAATTATGTTAAATTATGAGAAATTTGAATGATCCCATTCCTGAAGTTACCCAAATCACTTTTAGAATTATTCATTATAAATTTCTCACCACTTTTAGGTTTGCTTATGTGAAAGTTCTCAATGCTGTTTTAGCTGGAATCATAGTTAAAGGAATACCATTAAATCACTAGTTGTTGTGTTGGAGAGAAACTTACAGGCACCCTCATGACATTCATGAACTGAAGACAACAGAGAAATTCATCTTAACTTGGCTTTTAGCCTGATAATGACCTTTGCCACTGTAATTAAAAGATCAAATTCAGGTGTTCTGAGATAGAACTAGACCTCAGGAAACATTATAGCATTTATAAACCCAATGACAATAGAAATAGCCTAAAATACAATATTAATCTTTCTATTGATACACTAACAATATATGTCTTTGAAAACAACTGATCTCATTATCTCTGTAATGTCATTAATTGTAAAAACCTTTCATTTTCATGTTGGTCAGTTTACATATAAAATTCATAATACAATTTTAAAATTCACAAGTTTGTATATGCTGATATCAATATCAAATAAATATACATACTTGGGGGGAGAGGAGACAGAAAAAGAGGAGAGATAACTAAAATGTTTGTGTTATAAGCTAATCATAGTTATATCTTTGAAATTTTCTCTCCCTGATTTATTAAGAAGCTGAAAAAGACTAGTAATAATATTAATTGGAGCTCTAACTTCTACATTGTTGTCACTTCTTAAGCAGTTACTCAGATTTTTGAGACCTATCTTTTGGAGTTTAAGATCACAAGGACTTATGTGCCTCCTGCTCTGTGGCTGCTGCCTCCATAACCCTAGGTTCATGCAGGTTGATTTGGAAAGACGAGAAAGACTTGATAAGAATCGAACAATAGCTCTTCCTCTCTAGTTGGTGCAGCCACTAACTCCTTTCTTGCAGTTGTTTTTACACAATCCTATGTACGACAGAGAAGAGGAAGAGCTTTTGTAACAAATATTGCTACAATCTTTGGGGTAAAGAATTTGAGGGATTAAAAAAGTACAATTTATCTTGTTAGTAGTGGGGAACCCTTGTGGTCAGAGAATTGCATTGTGCTTGATCTTGTCATCATTTATAAACATAACTCCATCAATAAAGATATTCCATTAGTGATCCAGCTTCCCTGCTTTTTTGGGGGGTGAGTTTATGTAAGAGAAGGGTAACTGAGAATTCTGCATTGTATTGAGTGTGGTTTTCTACATTTAAGTAAATGTTTTATTGGAATGAATCTTGCTCTTTTTAATGTATTGCTATATTCCCTTTTTTACAGGGTCCAGATCATCAAACAATTTTATTTAACCATGGTGCAGTTCAGAATATTGCTCACCTACTAACCTCAGTATCTTACAAAGTAAGATGTTAAAAATTATGTCCAGATTTTTATACTTTATTTTGATTTCTAAAATCTTGCTCTAGAAAGAGACCCACATATTTTATTCCTCCTTTGTTAGATATTGTGATCAAGCGTAGTTTTTATCAGTAAAATGTTATGGGGCATTTTCTTATCTATAGAAGTTGCTTTAAAAAAAAAACAACTACCCTTTCTATTTTGTTTTCAGGGTATGGTAGTGGCATGAGTTGCTATTGATTTTCACCTGTGATCATTAACAATCTCTTCCAGTTAGATGTCCGTGCGAAAGCTGATGCCTTGAAGCAGTGGAGCAGTGGCTTGCTATATCAGGAAAAACTTTGGCTTTCATATTTGAGACCTTTAGCCACAGTGACTCAAACTTACAGTGTATATCCACATATACATAACCATTTAAAATGTATTCTTTTTTCTATTTTGAGTTTAAAAGTCAAGGGTTTTCAGATTTGTTAATTGAATGTTCTTTACTGTCTTTTATATATAGGTAAGTGACATCATGATATATTACCAAGCATTTAGCTAAAACTTTGGACATCTCATTGCTGTTCAGTTAGCAAATTGTAGCAAATATTGGGACATTGTCCTTGTTGTGTCACATTAGAGTTGGGTTTACCAGAAGTTTCCTGTAGAGCAGAGAAGCCGTCATTTGGTCTTCTATCCACTTGTACTTACCTCCACTGATCCAAACCGGTTTCGGCTCACTTGTACTTATCTCACTCTGCTCTTCTGGTCCTTAGCTCTATTGCAGCCTGCTAATATGTATGTTTTCCCTACCTCAGATGCCCAAAGTTCACTCTTGGTGAAGAGCTTACAAGGATAGTTGTACTGCCCAAGTGAGGGACATGTTTCTTCACATCTCAGCTACCTATCCTACCAGTCCCAGGTTCCACATAAGAACATCAAATATAGACTCAGGCTTGGAAGTGAGGATTAGATATCTGGTGAAAACTGAACAGAAAGGTTTAAAAAAAATAGCTCTTATAGGAGCTCCTGCAAATTGTAAAATATGTTGTATGTGGTTGAGAGTTTGGGCCCTTCCTTGGTATCATCCCAGGCCAGTTACCCAGTTTTAAGGAATGGTGGCACAATTTATAGGTGTTTTAAAAGGTAAAGTAATTTAGTCCTTTTCAAACTTTTATTGTAACTTTGTTTCCTCTATTCCCCATTCTCACCCCATATGCAACCACAAGAGTAGAGTACTCTTTTTTCCCTCCTTTAAGTATCTGTTTTTTGTAATTTGGGAGAAGAAATGTCCCATTTGAAAGGCAGTTAGTAATTGCTTTTAAGTTCCCTTTGCCTTACCAACATTGTATTTGGTACAGTGTTCTCTTAAATTTGATTTGGGATTTATCTACTTAAATTTTAGTTGCTATTTTGTTTTTGCTTTTTCATTACTTCATTAATTTTAACTTATTGCACTCCTTAGATATACAGGTTTTATTTCTATTCCCTTGAGTCCTTCCTTTAGTACTTTGGCAGATTTAAATAGTTATTTCTTCAGAAGAGTTTAGATTCTGAGACATTAAAATGCATAATTGTGCCCTAACTGGTTTGGCTCAGTGGATAGAGCGTTGGCCTGTGGACTCAAGGGTTCCAGGTTTGATTCCAGTCAAGGGCACATGCCCAGGTTGCTGGTTCGATCCCCAGCAGGGGGTGTGCAGGAGGCAGCTGATCAATGATTCTCTATCATTGATGTTTCTATCTCTCTCACCCTCTCCCTTCCTCTCTGAAATCAATAAAAATATATTTTTAAAAAATGCATATTTGCAAAACTGAAATAAAAATGTTGTTTGTTTGTTCATTTTTTTTTTTACAGGTTCGAATGCAAGCACTGAAATGCTTCTCAGTTTTAGCTTTTGAAAACCCCCAGGTATCGATGACCCTGGTAAATGGTAGGCTGGAATTTTCAGTGGAACCTTCATGATTTAATTTATAAACTTTGTAGATTTAAAGAAGTTCTCAATGTTTGCTGTTTGTTTTATTTCTAGTTTTGGTTGATGGAGAATTGTTACCACAAATTTTTGTGAAGATGCTACAGAGGGATAAGCCTATTGAGATGCAACTCACATCAGCAAAATGGTAAAAGTCAAGACAATGTGGGAAGAAAGATAGTGTTTCTCAATATCTTAGAGTATTTTGGGACAGATTGACTGGTTCAGTTTCAATCCCAGTCTTGTTTGGGGATTTTTTTAAATTTGAAAGTCATGGGGTTGTCTCACATTTTCTTAAATGGACATGGTTTTTATTCCATTTACTCAATAGCATGCAGAACAGAAACTCTCTCTCATATAACATCTAAGACTACCTACAGAAAATTACTTTATCACATTCCCTTCCTGTATTTCTGTTGAAATAATATGGAATTCGATGAGAATTAACCATCACATATTATGCTAAATATTAAAAGTATTAACCCAGGAAAATATAAAGATATAGAAATATGGATGAGAATTAAAGTGGATAACCAATGCACGATTTCAGAGAATGTGGTTTCCTCATTTTAGGAAAAACAAAACAAAAAATTCTCATAGAGATGTAACAATTTATAAGATAGTTACATAAAGTTCTTATTAGCATAACTCTTGGCTCCTATAAGCCTTCAATACATGCTGATTCTGTATCAATACATTAACAGATAGGTTGAACACCTGTTGTATAGGGTTCTATGCTAAATGAATTGTTTATTTCAGTATTTAAGAAACTCTATTTTGATGAGAATGACAAATTTTCAGTGAATTACTCATGAATTATGAATTGTTTATTGTTTGTTTATATTACTTGTATTTTTTGTTTGTTTGCTTTTTGTTTTAACTTCAAAACTATTTGTTTCTTTGTTGGTGAGGTAACCCTGTCATAGAACCTTTAAAAAAAAACAGTGGGGATAACAAGCCTTAAAATAATAACAGCTATAAAGGATTCAACCCTCTAGAACAGGGATTGGGAACCCTTTTTCTGCCAAGGGCCATTTGGATATTTATAACATAATTTGCAAGCCATACAAAATTATTAACTTAAAAATTAGCCTGCTATATATGGTCAAACATTTAATTAACTCACCCCTAATGCCTTGGCACGGCCAGACCAAATGATTTCTCGGGCCTTTATACAGCCCACGGGCCAGATGTTCCCCACCCCTACTCTATAATATAAGTATTTTACTGATTTGTTTATAGCATCCCCTAAAAGCTAGAACATGGGTGTTTTTTTTCACCCAGCTTACTAAAGGAATGTAATTGAAAAAGGAAATTCATTCAAGTTTCTGAAGTGCTTAATGTTCATTACCTGCTTGGGGAGTGCAAAGTAATTTTATTCTTATTCAAAATCAGATATAATTGTGAAGGTAAATAGTTTTTCAATAAAACCAAATCGTTGCCTAATTCTTAATGCCACTACTGATAACCTCTGATTAATTAATTTCTTATGGACACCCATAAGCATTAGAAGGTAAATGCTTCTCCTGTTGAAGTTGGAATACCAGCTTAACTTCATTTAAACTTAGATACTTTGTTAACTTTTTATTTTTTTTCCTTTTTATTATGGAAAATTTAAAACTAAACAGAAAAGTATAAAGATCTCTAATGTGCCCAGTACCTAGCTTCAAAATGTGTCCACCTAATTGGCCATTTATTTTTTTTAAATTTTGTAGGTAGGGTTTTGGGTTTTTTTAATATCTGGCTTATGACATTGGTATCAGTTAGTTTTCTTTGACTATTAAATTAACAGAACCTCAGATAAGGGAATGTCAAAGCCTCTCTCAAAATAAATGAGAGTAGTTGTCTTATTTTGGGCCCATAAAATATTAAAGGCAAGTAAGTAATTTTCCTTTTAAAGCTTTAAAACACAAGCAAAAACTTACTTTTTGCCATCTTATTCCAGTTTAACTTACATGTGTAGAGCTGGAGCAATTCGGACAGACGACAACTGTATTGTATTGAAGGTGAGCTAATTAATTCTCTAAAAGGCATATGAAAAGTATCCACTCATATGTGTTGAATATAAATTTTGGTATTCCTATTTGTCACTATGGTATGTGTGCATAGAATAAAATAATAGTAAACACCATGCTTTTCTTTTTGATGGGATAGAATGTAGTTTTTAAAAATTGGTTTTATGTGTGTTTTGAAAGTCAAAGTGAAATAATTATTTCCTTGTCATACTTTATTTTTATGGTAATAAGGGGGATGTAGAAAGTGTAAAAATATGTAAAATTCAGGTGATAGAAAATATATTTTAACCCTTGATTTTTATTGTTTGCAATAGTTTTATAGGAAGCAGTTCATTAGATCTGCAAATAAAGACTTAAATCACTCTCATGGCAGGTAATCAAAAGGCAAAATGAGAAGGAATAAGTAAATAGCACATGAAAACAGTCATCATCATCGATGTCCAAATCAATTAGAAGTCAGAAAAACCCAGATAAGAGACTAGCCCTAAGAGTCCCAAGACCTGGAATCTGCTTTTAGCATTGCCACTACTGCCTAGCTTGGTAACCTTGGGCACACCCCTTATTCTGTTGGCACTTCAGACTCCTAATTATGAAGATGGAGGCAATAATTCCTGCTCATTTATCCCACAGGGTTATTTTGAGAATAACAATACATTAAATGTCTTATTAGCTATAAAGAACAAAGCAAGTATAAATAAATTCATTGTGTGTCATTTTATGCATGTGAGATCTCTCACTATCAGTGTTCAAAATCAACCCAAGGATAAAAAAAGATTAATGGTTGCTTTAGTCTTTGGTGAAGCAAGTCAATTAATTTAATGAGATCTGACAACCCCCTAAGAAAACAACTCTGCATAGAGTGCTAAAGGCTTCCGTGCAAGGACCTTGGTTTATTTTCTTTACTCCTCTACCCCTTCTTTTCTTCCTTCCTCATTGGTAAACTAGGTTAATAGTATCTTTCTTGGTGTAGTAGTTGTGAGAAATTCAATAATCCATGTATCTATGGTATTGATAATGTTAGTGACTGTCCAAAAGAAAATAAGAATAAGGCTTTCCTCTTGGAAGCCTAGGTAAAGATGTAAGGGGGACTTAGAAAAGAGCAAAGCACAGCTGACTGGTAGTTGAGAGAGGTTTCCTATAATTGTAATATTTTTCCGTTTTTACTTCCACATTATTCTTTAAAGTGGATTCATCAGCCTTAGAAATAGTAAATACATGGGATGTTTTTATTGATAGATAACCAACCAAGACAGTGCCAAGATTTTTGAAGGACCTCAGAAGTAAAATTGGACAGTTTAGATATTAGTCTTTCCAAGGAGCTCTTTGGAAAACCTAGGAACTATAATTAATGCATTTCACTTGCATTATAGGAGAACTGATGGAATCTGAGTAATGGTAAGATCACGGAATCTTTAAAGCTGTATCTTTTTTTTTTTTTTTTGCTCTTGTAGATATTAATCCCCAAACAAAAAATAAAAGTCATCCCAGTCATATTGCTCATTAAGGAAAAAATAGCATACTTTTTCTAAGGCAAAATCATTCCTGGTTAAACTGTTGGAGGTCAATTAGGTAAATAAATACATACATGGTGTAGAAGCATCAGACATGCTTTATTAGGGATTCTTGAAATGTCTTTTGTAAGGTTGTACCATAAGGCTTTAGTCTTAATCGATCACAAAAGCCTGAATAGAGTTTGTATTATTGTATTTTGATTGTATGATTAGAGTTTAGTGTACCAGAATAAATGATTAATATGCACTGAATTTTATATATTTTTACATTAAAAAACTCTTATTCTCTGTGAGTCTTCATTGAAAATTTCATCGCAAGCACGACTCCCAATAAAAATGACTGAGTTTATTCAGTCACTATAGGATCTCCAAGCTTTTGCCTTTACCAAAAAGCAAATAATTAATGTCACTACCTTTCAGACGTTGCCATGTTTGGTTCGCATGTGCAGTAAGGAGAGATTACTGGAGGAGAGAGTTGAAGGAGCTGAGACACTCGCCTATCTGATTGAACCAGATGTCGAGCTACAGAGAATTGCCAGCATTACTGATCACCTCATTGCCATGCTTGCTGACTATTTCAAGTATCCCAGCTCTGTGAGTGCCATCACTGACATTAAAAGGGTATGTTCTCTTCCTTCAGCAGCTCTAGAGAGGGCTTCCTAAAAGTTTTACTTACGGTTCACTACTTTGAACCACTTGATAATACAGTTCAAAGCCCTTTTAAATAAAGGAATCTTTTACCTTTGGTAACATAGATGATGTTTTATGAGTTTTTGAGTCCAATTTGTTTCATGTTCAGAAATTTTTTTAATATGTTTTTATTGAATTTTAGAGAGAGGAAGGGAGAGCAATAGAGAAAGAAACATCGATGAGGGAGAAATATCATTGATTGGCTGCCTCCTGCATGCCCCCTACTGGGGGATCGCGCCCACAACCTGGGCATGTGCCCTGACTAGAATCGAACTGCCATCTGTTGGTTCATGGATCGATGTTCAACCACTGAGCCACACCAGCTGGGCAGAAATTTTTTATTAAGGAAATAATGAGGAAAGAAGAAAATTATGTCCCTAATTCCCAACTAAAACCCCCAAATAGTGGGTTCTGGTCTCTAAGCTGGTTACTGACATTCTGACAATGTTATCTCATCCTATTTGTGTTCCCAGAATCATCTCTATTGCACTGTACTCGTTCTTGAGGTCAGTGTGATCTTTTCTCTGTGTAACTTAGTGGCCTTATTTTACTCTCCACTACTGTCTTTCCCTTGTGCTACTTCTCCTAACTTTTGCCATCTTCTTCTCTTTCCTTTTTGCAGTTTTATACTGTACTTGGTCTGCTAGTGACAGCTAAAGCATCATTTAACCTCTAGACTGAGACCATCAAGAACCAAATTGTGCTCACTTTTTCTCAAAATATAAGTTCCTTAGGATAGGTAGATATTCCTTTGACTTTGTTTTTCTGAGTCTATTTGTCGTGTTTACTTCTCTAAGCATAGGAGATAAATATTATGTTAGAGAAAGTTTATTTAAGAAGGTCATGGTAGAAGAAACATTGCCTCCTAATTAGTAACCAGTACTGTTTCATGAATATGACTGTATTTTTTATACCAGTGGTCCCAATGGTAAATTTTTAAAAATTGTTTTCTTGACCTCTCTCATGCCCCTGAGTTCCAAAAAGAAAATTCATCTGGCAGCCAACTGTTCATTTGGCATTTGATACTGAAAATAAAATAATCTATTAAGGGTATATATTTTCTCTGTCTTAGGAAGGACCTAAAATGCTTTCACTGATATTTGTGTTAATGATCTATATTGCCCTCTGTGTATTAAAGTTATGTCTGCTCTTCCTTCAGTATGATTGTTTTTCCAGTGGAGGTGATGGGTTATACTGAACCATCTGCCCTGTCTGTTCTCCCTCTGGCTACTTGCTCACACTGACAGTGTCTCACTGGTACAGAGATACATGGGCAAGTCCTAGTTATGGCCTCATGGACACCCTTAGTTGACCATCCCAGCAAGGCAAATAGAACACTTTGTTGGACAGGAGAGTGAGGGAACATAGTTACAAGAACTTCTAGCCTAAGCAGGTGCAAATCATTTAACTAGTATGTAGATTATCTCTGCTATTAAGGTTTTTCCATTTTATTTTCATTACAATAAAACTAGAATAGAAATAATTTTTAAAAATTAGCTCAATGCCAAACTTGAACATTAGTTTGTTTTGTCATCTTTATTTAGTTTTTATTTTTTGTTAATCCTCATCTGAGGATGTTTCCTCCATTGGTTATTTTTTTTTAATTTTTTTTTTTAGAAAGAGTGGAAAGGTGGGAGGGATAGTGGAAAAAAAAGAGAGAGAGAGATATCAATATGAGAGAGACACATCGATTGGATTGTTGCCTCCTGCACATGCCTGACCATGCCAGGGGTTTCCACAACCCAGGTCCATGCCCTTTACCGGGAATCAAACTCGAAACCCTTCAGTGTGTAGGTCAACACTCTAACCACTGAGCACACCAGCCAAGGCAAGTCATCTTTATTTTGAATGATGAATTATCCAGTGGTTTTTGACCATAAAAGTCTAAGTAATTGACCATAGAGAGAAATTCTTACATGTTAACAAATGTATGATTTTTTTGTGATATATTAGTCCAACTCAGTATTCTAATATGTTATGACTAAAAAGTAGTTAAAAGTTTAAGAATAAATATTTTAGGACTTACATATCAAAGTGAGTGTTCCTCATTATATATTGGGAGATTCCTCCCATAATCCATCAGTGCCTGCTTTGATCAGAATATTTTTGGAACTACTTTTAAGAATTGCCTTCAGAACTACCCCAAATGAGTTTCAGGGTGTTTTGTTTTATTTATTATTCTAAAGGTTACCCAGCTGGATTTCCCCATCTTCACACATGACAATCATTGACAATTAACTTCAAACTCTCTTAGTTCATACATATATTAGTCAGGGTTTTGTAGCTAATGTGCCACTTAGCTCTTTAGGAAGTTTTAAAAGAGGGTCTCTGATTATTTTTGCACAACAGCTATATCATTGCATAAGAGAACATTTTGAAGGCAAATCATTTGAAGAAAGTGGTAGTCACTTGGATGAAGAAGTTATGTCTCTTAGTTATAAAATTATTTACATTATTGATATGCCTTATATATTTACTGGTTCATAGTCACTGAAACTGTCCTATTTTTATTATGGTAGTTTGGTGACAAATCAGGTGTATAGAAAAATTGATAACTTAGAAGCCAGTTATGCATATGGAAAGGTAGAATTGTTTCATACCAGTAAGTAGTTTTTTTTTTTGTTTGTTTTTTTTTTAAAAATATATTTTATTGATTTTTTACAGAGAGGAAGGGAGAGGGATAGAGAGTTAGAAACATCGATGAGAGAGAAACATCGACCAGCCGCCTCCTGCACACCTCCTACCTATTTTTATTATGGTAGTTTGGTGACAAATCAGGTGTATAGAAAATTGATAACTTAGAAGCCAGTTATGCATATCCACTGAGCCAAACCGGTCTGGCATTAGTTTTAATAAATGTATCTAAAAAGTCTCCTGAACATAAGTCTCAGATAACGGCAATAGAAAAATAGTAATGATTACCATGGTATAACGTTCATTAAGGATTTTCACAAAAGTTTTCCCTGTTTCTAAAAGTATTTGAAATACTGAAATTAGGCTAGCACTACTCTTAACGTTTGGGAAACCTGCTAAAGACATTGTTGCAGCAGCACTCAAATTATCAGCGTATTCTGGGGCTGGCAAGGCCTGAGTGTGCCTTGTTTTGGAGGAGGGCATTTCAAAGAGCCGGTGCAAGCAAACATTAGTGCCACTGAAGCTACAATCTAGGACTGAATTTTTAGGGGTCAAAGGTTTACATATACTAGTGTCAAACATTGTGGCATTCACTTTTAGACAGAAGCAGACAGCGTGTATCCAGATAATGCTGACACAAACACACCTAGGTCTCAATCACGTGAGCAGAACCCAAAAATAATCAGGAATTCAGTGAGAGCACTCATATGTTCATAGTTGTTAAACATTTTTTCTTCAACTCTACTGAGTGGTTTTTATTGAAAATTTAATTTGTGGGCTGACTTGGAACATATCTTTTTCTCCTCTCCCATAGCTTGATCATGACTTAAAACATGCTCACGAACTCCGCCAGGCTGCATTCAAGCTCTATGCCTCTCTTGGAGCAAATGATGAAGACATCCGGAAGAAGGTGAGTCTGGGAGAGGGGCGTCCCCCAGTCCTGACAGCCAGCAGGCAGGGAGTGACGCCAACCTGAAAGTCGTGGTGAAGAGCACTAACAGTGACTGTTTGAATATAATAAAGCAGAGTGACTAAAGGCGTAATTGAAGAATGAATGGGACCCGGATTTGGGGGGTTGTTTGTTTGTTTTTAGAACATAGAGTGGCATGGCCGTGCTGGAATGACAAATAACTGGTGTGTTTTTCTGTGTCATTAATATGGATTATTGTGTTGCACATTTTTGCATGTGTTCTGATAAAAATCATTTCTAGCACTGTGAAGTTTCAGACACCTTGAAAGTCCTAACACTAGAATTGTATATGTTATTTATGAAAATACTTTCCAATGCCATTGAGAAACTTAAATCTATTGTATATTGTTCTTTGATATGTGGCTTAGTTATGTTTTGATTTTTTTGCTACTGTGCAAGTTTGATGTGAATAAAATCTTTGTGGAATGGTGATTTTATGTTTAGTGAGTGATCATGTGAATTTTCAGGTCCCAAAAAATGTATCACTGGTATAGCACCTTATGTTTTAACAGCCTAGTCCAACACTGAACTCATGTTTTTTATGAGAATAGTTTTAAGCAGAAAATAAAGTATAGTTGTAAGCTCTGACCTGGCTCCCTCCTCAAACCAAAAAACTGGATCTACCACTCAAAAAAATAAACATAATCTAATAAATTTTACACAAGGCTTTTAGGAACATCAGTAAAGTAATCCCACATGTTCTGTCTTGACGAGCCATAGCAGAAAGAGCAAATTGGGCATTATTTACTGAACATGCACTTTACTAAGTCTTTCCATCTATATTGGTATTTGTGAGGGAAATTACAAAGTACTGGGAATTTGTCATGATTCAGAGAAGTACTTGGGCTTGAGAGAGAGGTGTAGCATAGCCGTAGGTTTCATGAAATCAATTGAAAAGGAACCGTTCTTGAATAAAATTGAAATAAGCAGTAAGATTAGATATGTAAATAGCATTGATTTAAATCAGTGCAAAAAAGCAACTAAGCTCATTATTTTCCATGTACCTCAATTTAGTTCAACTAACAAGATTTTTTGACTTGAAGTGTTCTTAGTAAATATCTATGAAAATCCTTCTTGACACCTCGAAGCTTTCATTTGTAAACTGTTACTTAAAGGTAAACATACCAGTGATATGGTATTCCCTATGTTTGACAAACATAATTTTTGGATGTTGATATGCTTCGTTCAGTTTAGGAAAAGGCTTTTATGGCAACTCATAGATAAAACATTTTTTAAAAATTGACATGGACTGTATAATTTATATACGTAATGATTTGTTTTTGGATGGTTATTAGGACTCATTAGAAAGAGGAGAAGTGTTTTGCCCATTCTTTTAGCTCAAGAAGGTTATGCTATGGACTGAAAGGGAGATAGATAGATGGACTATAAAGGGGGAAATAGGATGTCCATTTGTACTTCTTTGTACTTTTTTGTTAATAAACTATTGTTTTGGAATTAATGACTTAATTTGTGATATCATGTTCTAGAAATACAACATAACAGTCTGATGATCAGTCTATTAAAAGTTGTATTTATAATGTGTATAATTTCCTGGTAAGGCTAAATCCTGATAATTTCTGTAGAAAGATGACAAATAAAGAATAAGTTATCATTATTATAGTTTTTTTGTGTGGTGAAGAAAAGATACTGTGATATTCTTATATAATGGGGATTATATAGAGTTTTTAGGAAGATATTTAATTTCTGGAAAAATGAAGTGTTTGAATAATTTACAGTTCATAGTAATTACTGAAGAGAGAAATTGTAAAATGGAAAATATAAGTTATATTGTGATAAAACCTACATGAAAATGGTTCTTAGGAGTGGAGAATCCTTATTTTCAGTGCATAAAAAATGACGATGACCCTTTTCCTTTGAATGCCTTTATTTCTGTTCCATTTTTTGTTGACATAATTATTTGGATAGATTTTTATTTCTCTATGAAATATTTACCTTTTACACTTATGCCTTATTAACTTTGATTATATTTTCGTGATGTACAGTGTTAATTGTTTTATTTTTTTAATGCAATATTTATGCTTGTCAAGATGGAATTTCAGTTTACTGAGTTAATGAGAGGAGCTTCTTTGAAAGAAATTTCAAGGATCATAGAGCTATTTCCTCTCCCCCCCTCCCCGCCCCCCCAAAACACACACACACACACACACACACACACAAGTATAAAAATATGAAATGTTCAGTTGGTCTGCCTTTTAAACTGAAAATGTGAATGCAATTCAGTAAGTACAGGGGGTAAGATATATTCCATTGCCCTGTTATGATCAATTCAGGAAATGAAGCAAAATGAAAAAGAAAAAACTGAAGCTATAGGAGGTAGACAATGAGAGATATACCCAACTGCTGTAAAGGAGAAAGATACAGGCCTTCTGTCTTCGTAGAATTATTTTTCTCTCTCTCATGGCTTCTAAAGACTTCTAAAGACCTGCTGTGATTTCATTGCTTGATACCTTCTCTCTGGGCCAGACAAAATTAAGCTGAAGACTGAGATATGACCCTTAGGTCAGAGATATACCACTCCTGCTCTGGAGCAGTGTTGGTGTATTCCCATTAAAAGATATCAACTATATAACAACTCCTGGAACCTAATAAGCACCCAGTAAATAAATATTTGTTGAATGAATATAGAAATGAAAATACAGAAATCATACACAGAGTGATATTTCCTTCAGTATGCCCAGATCTCTCTGTATCCTGTGCAGAGCAAAGTTGATATTCTAATTCCCAGCATTTCATCCTTTATCACTCTGTGGCATACTTACACATTTCCTGACTTCCTCTGGTGTCCTGTCAGAGAGTCAAGGAGTGTGAAGAGTTCTGCAGATGACAGTAGAAAACATTACCAATTGGCTGTGACATGAAAAGGGAGAAGCCTAAGAAAAGATGGACCACTGAGCTTGACCATGTGGCCTGGCCATATTCAACTTAGAATAACTCAAGAATTTGTTAGGTTAAGCAAGGGCAGAGGTAGGAATTGAGTACTCAGTGGAAGAAAGGTCCAGAGCGCATTGGCAGTAACTACACAATTCACTATAATCTCTGCCATGGGGAAAGTCTAGTTTTTAATAATGGCCTTGACCACATATTAATGCTGACTAGGAAGCGTAAGTTCAGTTAATGGGACGGTAAAAAAGAAAGAAGTAAAGATACCTAACATTCTTGCAAGTGCTGGCATTTCCAGTCATAGCCCCAGTCAGTGGTGAAGTCATGCAGGGGCAGCAGTGGTAAGCAGTCCTGTAATTGTGAGGCTGACTCTTTTATAACAAAGCATTGTTCTTATGAAGATCATTACTTGGTTGGTACCTGTTGATCATAAATTAGGCTGGAAATTTTAACGGCTTGTCTCTCTTCACTCTCTTTAAGGAATTAGTATAATTTATTAGTTAGGAAGTATAATTTGAGGAAAATTAGAAATAGTAAGTATAAATTAACTCAAGGAAATTAATAAACTTAACAGGATGTTATTTTTATTTTTTATAAAAATAAAATACATTTCAAATGTTAAAAGTAGTACTTGGTGTAGCCTTTGCTCCTTTGAGGTATCTTACTAATGGAGACTTTCAGAAAGCTTTCCTCTTGGATTTTGAGTACTTACATTTAGCTGGAGATTCCTTTTGAAAAACTAGAATGTAAGCTCCATGAGGGCAGGGATTTTTTTATGTATTGTTCATCGCTATATTCCCAGCATCTACAACACTGCCGGATGCATAGACAGCACTTAACAAATATTTGAAGAATGAATGAATGAAAAAAATGAATGAATGGACAAATAGATGAATGAATCATATTGCAAAATTACATTATTAAGCACCCTCAATCAAATTATGTATGGGCCTCCATACATTAAGAACATTTATAATTTTATTAGCAATTCTATGAGTATGTGAAAGTGGAAATTTAAAATGGGGAAAATAAAATCTGATCATATAGGCAAAGGATTTCACTATACTTTAGCATAAGTATTTTTCAAGAGGCAGACAATCTCAAGGACATATCTTCTACTCACTTTGATATAGATCAAAGAGAACTTAATTTATGGTATGGTACTTGTTTAATTTTGAAATAATTTTTACCATTATTTTTTAGTTTTTTTTCTTTAAAATGTGTGATTTAAAAATAATGTATATTATTCACAAATGTGAATCTGGACCCATTTTTTTCCTAGGGATAAAAGCATGATTTGATTTATAGAAATTAGCCTGACTCAGAAACCAACCTATTCTGTAAAGTGTAAACATTGTCTGATGGGTCGGGGAGGAAGGAAAGCAGTGCAGTGAGATGAAGAGCCATAAGACGCAGCCTTACAACTCAGCATTTATAATAAAACCTCAGTAAGTCAGAGAACAGGAAGGAATGGCCAGTAAGAATTTGCGAGGGGCTTAAGGAATTATTTGAAAACAATTAGTATAGATATGTTGATTTCAATGGGGCTATTCTTGAATCAGTTTGGAAATTAATAATTTAATGTTTTTGTCATTTTTAATGTTTTATAACTGCCTTTCATAATTTCAAGAGTTGAAAACATGAAATCTTAAGTTTTTGTTTCTTACAGGGGGAGGGGGTCATCCCTGGTTTTATATTACGTGAATAAGGTAGTCAAGAATAGGATATTTTTTTCCTTTTAAACTGAATAATTTCTTTTTAAAAGTATAGGCAGAAAAAAAAATTAAAAATGAGAATTTGTCTTCTACCTTCTTTTTCCTAGCAGAGAAATTATATCTACAGGGTCATTGTGAGGCTGAAGATACAATGTATTTAAAATATTTAATATGGTGCCTATAAGTGCTCAACAAATGGAAGCATATATTAGAATATCTTAAATGACTTCATTGGGAGATTAAAAATAAATATGTATTTTAAATTGTACTAGAAACACTGAACAATGTTGAGGCATAAATAAAAAAGGTTTGCAATGAAGACAGTGACTTTAATCTATAAATTTCCAGTTCTGTTAGTTATTTATTCTTTATAGAAAAAAAAATTTGTACTTCAGAAGCATAGAGGCTCTTTCTTTAGCTTATCTCTTATTAATTACAAGATGTCTTCTTACTGTCTTAGAATAGATTTAAATTTCTGGTTTTCAAAACTTTTTGTTTGCTTTAGCATGCCTTTCAAAGCACCAAATTAAATTTTGGGTTGTTGTTTTTTAAGTTAACTAGAATATACAATATAAATCAATAATTGGTTGAATTCAGAGGTAATAGATATGTTAGGAAAAGTATGGAGGCCAAATGTTAACTTTAGTTATCTAAGTATTACTATCCATGGTTGCCATAGATGTTATTTCTCCAAAGAGTCATTATTCATATGAAGCCCTGTCTCAAATATGCATGTTCAAAATTTGAACAGATGTAAATTCTTCTCTATATTTTAAAGTTATAAGATTTTAAAGTATATTTTTGAATGTAGGTCAATTTTTAAAAAAATCTTTTTGCCATCTCAGAAACTTGCTAAGTATTTCACTTTAAACATTTTTATGATTTGTTAAACGTTGATTTTATTACTAGTTAGTGTTCTGGGTAACAGTATAATTATACCATGAATTTATATTTTTAAGTATTTTACAAAGTGCAGTAATTCTAAATGGAGATTTAAAAGGCACACTGTCAAAATTTTGTATGTCTCTGCCATGAAATCAGGCAGATGCAAGGAGCGATTGCTAAGCCTTAGCCTGCAAGTTGAAACAAGCACCTTGAACATTTTGAAGGTTTTCAACGGTACCACAGAAGTAGCGCCCTTCAGGACTCGGCTCTGTTACTGAATAACAACAAATTCATTCAGAATTCAGAATCCATGGATTTAATCTGTGGTAAAATTGTTAGTTATCGTCCTAAGGCTAATCTACCAAAGAATTGTAAATGATTTCTGCAGCATTCATTTATGATGGTAAGTATTTTTAAAGAGTTCATCATGACAGGACCAGGTTGTGCCACTTGCCCACGGTACTGAGACCCTTGGCCTTCTGCATACTGAAAGAAGCAAACCTGGGAGGGATAATGCTAGATACAAAACAGAGGTATTTATAAAATCAAGTAATGAATATTGATTTCAGAGTTTCATTAAGTGGAGACATAACATTGAGTATTGTAATACTAATTGTGATACTGTCGTTGCATAAACCATTGAATTACAGTTCCTGTTCGTTTTTTTCAAGTTGAAGTACAGGTTGGTTATTTTGTTAGCTGGTTACGAAGCATTAGATTCAGAAAAAATATATACAGTGGGGCCTTGACTTACGAGTTTAATTCGTTCCGCGACCAAGCTCGTTAAGGAGCTCGTTAACTCAAATTACTCTGTCAACTCAATGCAAAAAATCAGCGGAGAGACAGCTGGTATCTCAAAAAACTCATTAGTCGGGACACTCGTAAGTCAAGGCCCCACTGTATCTTTTCTCTCACATACTTTTTGGTACAAAATGGGTAATGAGATGCTTTAATTACATCGTTTTCTTCATCTGGCATTTATGACATACTTCCTCCTGTGTGTCCAGGAATGAAGCAGAAGACTGGTGTGTGCCTTGTAGGAGCTTACAGTACAAAATAGCTAAGGAGATGAGACGCTAAATTGCTAGATAGTAATTCCAGGGCCTCGTGTGTGTATAAGTCTTGTCTATACTAAAAGCCAGTTTTTGCATGATTGATACACCCAGATATTAAGATATGACTATAATTAAAATAGCCTGTATGAACCGGTCTAGAAGAGTCATCTCCTATGAAGTTTATTTCAAAGTGTTACCACTTTTCTCCTTCCAAAATATTAAAATCTGTTGTTGCAGAGTTTTGACTCACAAAATCTGTATTCTGCATCAATTGAAAATATTTTTCTAAGGGACCTGTCTAGATGTGATTACATTGTAGATTAATATTTTAGAAAGGAAGCTTCCAGAGTTAATGATGCCATAGAGGTACTTTTTCAGCATTTTGTTTTGTAGGCAGCTTCTGTATGGAATAGATATAAACTTGTCATATGTAGAATGAGAGATGAAGGGATCCTTGGAACACATGTCCATTTAAGGAAGGGTAGGGGAGAGAGGACTGTAACTTAAAGAGATTACAGTTGGAGCACTTATGTCTTTTAAATAGGGGTGCAAGTGGGAGGGCACAGGCCAAAATAAAGGACCCAGTGGGGTGGGGCAGAGTAAAGTTGCAAGAAAGAGGGGGTGGGGGGTAATTTCTGGATCAAGGTGCAAGGTCTTTGAGCTTGAAGTACCCAACTTCAGTGTAATAAGAGTGAAAAAGTATGGAGATACTTTAATGAGAAGAAGGAAGTTGAGACAACCTGTGTCCCAGAAAAAAAAGCCATGTCCCTGCAAGAATGAGGTGGGCACAGAGGGCCTGAGGGCATGAGGGAGGTAGGAAGAATTTGAAGAAGGACGGAAACACATAGGGAAGATGGGACTATCCTGCAGGTGAGTGCAAGGCTGGCGGAGCAGTGAGGGTCCTGCCGAGATGGGGTAGCACACACTGAGAGATCTGGCAGCCAGGATTGCTGAATTTTCTACTGTAAATCAGCAGTTTGGGATGTGAAACAGGAGTGAGTGGTGGGAGGACAGTGAAAAGAAGGCGTTTGTCTACTAAGTGGAGCATCCGAGCAAGAAATCCAGGTCAGGGAGAAAGGTATGTGAGGGTCGAAAAGAGTAAGCAGTGAGAAAGGAAGGCATTAGGGGCTAGAAGTGACAATGGGGTCAGAGATGGATGTGCATAAAGATAAGGGTGAGATTGAGTTTGCTCTTGGGTGAGAAGTATAAGTTTTCTCAGCCACTTAGGAACCTGCAGATCACTATATAAAAATTACCATTACTGCCCGACAGCTGCACTGTGGTTCCCTGTACTTAATAGTTGATATTCTTCTCCCCATCACTCTTAATTTTAACTTTTTTTTCTCTTCTCATTTGGTTTGAACATCCTGAGATTTCCCACCCCCTCCTCTCTGAGGTCATTGATCCTCAACCATGGCGGCACACTGGACTCTACCTGTGGAGCTTAAAAAACAAAACAAAACAAAAATAGGTGCCTAGGCCCCATCCCAGAGACTCTGATTTAATTGGCCTGGATATTTTTTTAAAAAAGCTCCCCAGGTGATCTTCCCATAGGAGCAATGACTGCTGTTCATGTGTTGCCCATCCTGGGAACCGCCTGGTGAGCACAGGCCTACTTCTCTAGCAGGGCCCTCTTACAAGCATGGCTAAGCATAAGGACTCAGGCTGTCTTATCTAAGTCCTCCGTTTCTTAATATGCTGATGGCGATAACTGTAATGGCCACAAAATGGATAAACCAGATAATGTAACATTTATTCACACTACCCCTGGCACAAGAAGTACTCTACAAATATTAATTAGTTTTGTTGATATTTGTGTTGTGATTATGTTAGCATTTTAAAAAATATGCTGTTTTCCCATAGGACCACACAAGTTAAACTTAATTTCTTCCCCACACTATTTATTTTGTGTCTATACATTATTGCTTAATGAAGAAAAATTGTAGGCTTTGTTTTTAAATTAAAAAAAAAACAACTCCATATTTGTAGTGATTACATGGAGCAGGGCTTGGTGCTACAGTGGAAAATGGCAAGGGCTACTTTTCTAAATATTTAACTTTTCAATTTGCTTGGAAAGAAAGTAGCCAGAGGTGGCTCTGTCAGAAACCCACAGGTTACATTTCCTAAGGGCTGTGTGGACCATGATTTCCCTAGAATCTCATTGTCGCGGGAACCTTTCCAGTGGTAGTCCGTTTTCTCTTTCACTCTTTCTCAAGACTATTTATGCAACACCTCTGCGCTAATCATGCCGTGTGGGTATTGTTTTAAGTGTTAATTAAAAATAATCAAGCATAATCAGCCCCTTACGCCTGTCATTCAGTCTGGCAGGTCCTTAGGGGGTAGCCCAACCTTTCTGATGAGATGCCTGCCCCCACCACAAACTGATGGTTCCAGAGGTAAAAACTCTCACTAAAGCCAACATTAAACTTTTAATAACGTTAGCCTACTTGCATTTACAAGCAGTGAAGTGTGTCATCTTTGTGTTGTTATTTATGCAGCATTAACCTTTTTCTCCAGATCATTGAGACTGAAAATATGATGGACCGAATTGTGACTGGCTTGTCTGAGTCTAGTGTCAAGGTGCGGTTAGCTGCTGTCAGGTATGAGCTTTAAATGGTCTGAATAAAAACCCCTTGCCATGTGTTTAACCTGTTTCCTTCCCGGACCTTCACCAAGTAAGCACAGAATCCAGGTGTTACTTGAAAGTCTGCTCAGGTGAATTCAGTGTTAACATTTAAACCGAGAAGCGAGCCTGGAAAGCCCACCAAGTGTTCTGAAGTAGTTGAATTAATAATGTCTGTGGCTATACCTGAAGTGTATACTAGTGATTGTGAAATGCCAAGCAGTGTGTTTGAAAAGTGTAAGTTTCAGCTTCTTGTGAAGCTAATTCTGATTATTCTTTGTAGATGTTTGCACAGTTTATCTAGATCTGTGCAGCAGCTTCGAACCAGCTTCCAGGATCACGCCGTGTGGAAACCTTTAATGAAGGTAAGGAAAGGAAGGATCAGCAAGTAACAGCCATTCCCACGGAGCCCTTACTGAGCTGAGGTAGCTGACGGCATTCCGTGGTCTAGGAGAATGTGTGATTTTTGTGTAGAGCATTTTAAGCAGTTACCTCCTCCAATCTCATGTTCTAAGCATCTTTACACCTGCAGAGTGTGTTTCTGAGGTCAGCATCTCGTGTGACAGGGAAGTGCATGCTTGGTTTTCTTTTATTAACTAAAGCTTGAGTTACTCATTTGCTCTCCCTGTGTGTTTAGTATTACACTTTGGACTTACACCCAAAGTCATCTTTGTAATTTTTAGTTCTAAAAGGAAAGGAATCCGCCATTTACAGATATAATCTGTTCTTAGTCTTTTGTCATTCCCTTGATATTTTTTAAATACAATTGTTGCCTCCTACTTTTCTAACTTCTTTTTGTGTTAGGTCTTTTCTTGAGGGGGAATAATGTTTTTCAGGTCAATTAAATCTGAATTGAGACTTAGAATAAAAGCACAGTTTGGCCTCTGATCCATCTTCATTTTTCTCTTTAAGTGAACATACGCCTTGCATTTCATAAACAGAATTTTTTATTTTTGTTTTTTACTACCTGCTAAGGAAGCCTCTGGGTATAGGAAGGCTACCAAATTTTTTTTACTGTAGAGCTCTTGCCTTCAGCTTAAAGCATCAGGGTTACAGTAGAGGCATCAGGGTTACAGTAGAGGCATCACTGTGGTAGAAATAGTCAGGGGAGGTCCAGGCAGGAGGAGTATGGAATGGACTTTGAAGGCAAAAGGAAGGAAGGCAGGAGGATTAGCCAGAGAGGAGCAGCATGAACAGAAACTTTATATTATGGTGTGTGCAGGAAGTGTAAGGATGCCTGTGACTAGGAGAGGGGCGGGGTAGGAGCCCAGGTGAAGAGTTAGACCAGTGCTGTCTTCAGATGAGTGACTTTCCTATTGACACTCTTCCTTGTCCTTAAAGTGCACCTTTTTCATAGCAGCTTAATCTTTATTTATTGATTCTGTCTATTCACGATTTTCTTTAACTGTGCCCTGTTTCCCAAAATAACTTTTAAATATTTCTTCTGGAGCCAATTTCTCTGATTGCTCAGCTAAGTACCCCTCTCTCATATGATTCGAAAATGGAGCCCTGGCCCAGCCTGTGTGCCTCAGTGGTTCAATGTCGGCCTATGAACTAGGAGGTCACGGTTCAATACCCGGTCAGGGTACATGCCCAGGTTGCGGGCTCAATCCCCAGAGGGGGCATGCAGGAGGCAGCCGATCAATGATTCTCTCATCATTGATGTTTCTCTCCCTCTCCTTTCCTCTCTGAAATCAATAAAAACATATTTAATTTTTTTTAAAAATGGAGCTTTGGCCAGTGTGGCTTGGTTGGAACAATCTGGGAGGGTTTTGTGCACTTGGGTACATGTGGGTATAATTACTATCAAACTACTACTTTGTTGCAGTTTTAAAGTATAGATACTATTAAAAGCTCAAAAGTAGATGAATAATTTATTTTAGATATTTCAGTTCCTCTTACTTCAAAGTCTGCGTGTCTATTGATTTTTCCTCTTTTACTTTTCCATGTAGTTAACTGTTGGTTAGCAAACCACAAGAAAATAACCATTTGATTTTAATTAAAGTTTTTATTTGTCATTATTTTTTGTTACTATTTTGGTGAAATTCTATTTGGTCAGTGTGAGAGGTCAACTTACAAATTTTACGCTGTCTTACACTGCATTGAGAAAATGTTTTTAAGAATTTCACAGACTCTCTTCTGTTTTAGTTTATCATTCATTGTTATCTAATTTGAAAATAAAACTTGATAAAAGCACATTAACCTCTATAAAACAATAAATATTTTAAAAAGTGAATCATATCAAGCAAAACAACTTTTTAAAGCCTTAGTAAGCACTAACTTATTTAAACCAGTGATTCTAAGTAGTGTAATTTTGGAAAATGATTATTGCTCTTATTTTGCCAACCTTCATTGAGCACCCATTTTGTGCAGTGTCATTTGGTTGATACAGGCCAGGGTAAATTAGATCATAGATCTGTAGATTATTCCTTCAGACGCTGAAATTTGTTAATAGAAAAGGGGGTTGGCGTGTCTACACATAGAATTTGAACAGTGTGGACAGTAATAAAGGTCCTACAAGAGGCCATAAACAGTGGCACTGGGGAGGATAGAATGACTTCTGACTGGAAGGGCGAAGGGCTCCACGGAGGCTTCTCGAAGGAGATGGCCTTACAAGCATGGGTACGCGGTGCGCCTGAGAGATGGAGAAAGGGCATGGAAAGGCAAGGGAAGGTGAACAGTGTCTTAGAAGGGGTGTGGCAGACAGAGATCAGCATGCATAACCAGAGATTTATTTTATCAACTAGCTAACAAGTCACAGGTAAGTTAAAATACAGTATCTCAGGAGAACTGCTTCTGTTTTGTAATTCTTGATTATTCTTAACTTGGGAACTTCAGGCTTGATTAAGCTGAAGAAAGCAGATAATATATTTAACTCTTATTTTTTTATTGTGGTTTTTTTAGTTTTTTGTTTTTGTTTTCTTTGCGATTCTCCGTGTCCAGTTTGCATAGTGAGAGCTCCTAGGACGCCTTTTGGGATGACAAGCCTTATCTGGATTTGCTCCCAAATGCAAAGGGTTTAGGTGGAGTGGTTATTGCATAGAAGTGGTAGTGTTTATGAAGCCTTCCCTCTTAGAAACTGGAAAGAACAGGTTCTGATAATAGTTAGTGGTGGCTAACATTTTTCATCATGTTGTTGTCTTCTGAGTTGAGTGAGAGTCTATGGCATTTAGTGTACTCTAGACCTGCCATATGCCTGATTTTGTGCCTGATAACAACAAAAACTATAGCAATAAATTACCTTTTTAAAAACCTTACTTATATAGCCTTAACTATGTGCCAGTTACTAGTCTAAAATCTTTTCGTTTATTGATTCTCACGAAAACCCTATGAAGCAGGTACTATTATTATCCCCATTTGACAGCCAAGGAATTCATATACCTATGCAGTGGTTGGCTGAAATTTTCACTCAGGAAGTCTATGTTCTTAACTTTTTACAATTATGCTTCCCTTATTATTCACTATATCACATTTTATCCTAAATAGTCCTATAAACAAAGTGTTGTTTTCTTTAATTCCTCAACTCAAAAGCTCAGAGAGGTTAAGGTGCACACATCTCATAAGTGGAGGAGTCAGAGTTGGAACCAGGGCTATGTGATTCCAGTCCCCTCATTACCTGGCCTGTGCAACAGCTTAATCCACCTGTGCTCCTGGTCAAACAAGTCCTACTAGGGACACATCGAAAAGTTTTGGGCCCTTGGGCAATTGTGTGTTTCATAAATGGCCCGAGTTAATGAAGTAGAATGTGCTAACTTTCCCCAAAGCAGTCCCACGATCTTTAAACCTTTACATGGGGCACCCCTCCCTGCCTTGCCTGTCTTCTTTGGGCAGCAACTCCCACCCTGGCAGTGGGGCTGTAGCTTCTCCAGCAAGATAGGTGTGAGGTCGCAGTCAGAATGATTGCACTGGGAAAAGGCTCACACGGTATCAGGTCCATCTTTCCTAACCAGCTCTCAAATACGAGAAATCAGGATAAATTTGGTTTTTCCTCATCCTTATGATCTCACCTCCATGTTTCCAAACCATTAATAGTACCCCTTTTTTTAATTCCCTAGGTTTTGCAAAATGCACCAGATGAAATCTTAGTAGTAGCATCTTCCATGCTATGTAACCTTCTTCTTGAATTTTCTCCAAGCAAAGAGGTTAGTATTGATTTTCTCTTCCTAGACTTTGCCTGGTCCTACCAGGGGCTTAGTCAAATAACTTTCATAGTAGTTGACATCGAAATTTGAAGACTAGTTTTAAAAACTACTTTTGATGCTGCAAGAAGGAGGGTAGCAAAATAAATCATTTTTAAATATGGTTATTATAATTTTCTGTTATCCCTTTTATTCTGCCTGGCATATTCAGATTATTTAAAAGATATTATAGTTTGCATTCACTCTAAACTGCCTGTAAATGTAAGAAATAATACACAAATAAGAGACTATTTTCAAACTATCATTACTAAAGAATAAATTAAGACAGTTTTGTAAAACCAGGATTATAAGTAATTTCTGCTGGCATCAGAAAATAATCTTTTTTTTAAATCCTCACCTTAGGAGTGAGGGTATTTTTCCCTTGATTTTTAGAGAGAGTGGTAGGGAGTGGGGGAGAGGGAAAGAGAGAAAGAAAAACATTGATGTGAGAGAGACACATGGATTGGTTGCCTCCTGCTATCGCCCCAACCAGGGCCAGGGACTGAACCTGCAACTGAGGTATGTGCCCATGACTGGACTCGAACCTGCAACCCTTCAATCTTAGAGCCAATGTTCTAACCACTGAGAAAAATCGGCCAGGGCCAGAAAATAATCTTTTTAATGTTTAGTGATACTGGTAGTTGTTTGGGGAAGGATTACATGTGTGGATATTTTCCCCTTGTTTTATACATTTTATGAATTATTTGAGCATGTATTATTTCTATAGGGAAAATTAAAATCAACTTTAATAAAGAAAGGAGAAAACCTTATCCAGTTAATGTTATCATGTTAAAATATCTCTGGTCTGCCCAGTCATGAACTGAGGTTTAGACACTGTCTTTTATTACGCATTTAGTAGACCCATTTTGGTTGAACTAACTTGTCTGCATTGTAATAGCTACAGGCTTCTGACTGGTAATTAGGAAGGCTTTAGTAACAAGGTGGGGGTTCAGAGATAGTTATTCACCAGCAATAATCTTGGAACAAAAGGGAGAGACTGGCAGTTATTCTGAAGGATGACAAAGGCGAGATAAGGTGCCAGGGCTTCCATCAGTTCTCTGCCCTGGTGGCGGGGATCTTGGTCTGTGAGGATCTGGTTGCAGTCAGTGTGACACCGTTAATCATCCTGCATAGCTGTTGTGATGCCTCAGATCCACCTTCAAAATATTTAGGGTCTAGTTACGCAGTAAGGTAGATGAGCTCAGGTGTGGGATCACTAATACAACTGGTTTTTCATATTAAAAATAAACGACTATAGTTAGCAGTACTGTATTGTATATTTGAAAGTTGCTGAGAGAGTAGATCTTAAAAGTTCTCATCACAAGGGACAAAATTGTAACTGTGATGGTGAATTTTAACTAGACTTATTGTGATGATCATATTGCAATACATACTTATATTGAATAATATTTTATACCTAAGACTAATATAATGTATGTCAATTATATTTCAATAAATAATAAACTGGATCTTGAACTGGAAGGTAAGGAAGTATAATAAGAGCATGATTGGACCAGGTGACAGAATTGGAATATGGACTATAGATTCAATAAAAATATTGTTTTGATGTTAACTTCTCTGAATTCGGTAACTGCTCTGTGGTTCTCTAAGAGAACATTCTTATTCTTAGAATAAACATTGAAGTAGTAAGAGTAAAGGGACATAATGTATGCATTCTCCTTTCATGTGGTTCAGAAAAGATTTTAAAATACGAATATGGGTATATAGAATGAAAGAGATCATGATTAAGCAAAAGTAATATGGCAAAATGTTAAAAGTTGGTTAATCTTGGAAAAGAATATATGTAAGCTCCATGTATTAATCTTGCTACTTTATAAGTTTGAACTTAGTTGAAAATAAAAAGTTTTAAAAAACATACCACAATTTGTACAAGTAGAGAAATGTGTGTCCTTCAAAAATGTCATCATGAAAGGCACTGCTCTGTTTCTTGGCATATAAATCTCAATTGCTTAAGCCGTTTCTAGAATCCACTTGAAAGATGGCCTTTTAAGCATTCATTGGTGATAGTAAATCAGTCCTTTAGGATTTGAATTTTTATAAAATTAACAAAACCCATTTTCAGCTAAGTATCATAAATTAAGTGGTCAGGCTAAAAGTGTGCTATTTTAGGTATAAAACATGGTATGACTGTAAGTACAAGACTTATTTTGCTTGTATCATTGAGAAATAGTCCTGAAAGTAGTTCTAAAAGATGAATTCTGTTTGGAATAAGATTGACAGTTTGGAAGGCGGATAGTTAGTTTATCTTAGGTTCCATTCTGAATCAGCCTATTGCTTCATAGTCACAGCTTGGAAAAACACATGAGATAGTGAGATCTGTGCCTGCACAAAGCTGGAGTGATGAACTCTCAGGATGGTGAGAAAGAGCCTGTGGAACTAGGTCATGGGGTCATGAGTATGTGTGAAATGTACAGATTGCTAGGATATCTCCTGAGTCTCTCAGGACTACCAGAAAAACAGGAAATGACAGGGATTGTTTGTGTTTTTAGATTTGAGAGAGAATAATTGTCCTTGCCCTTCTCAAGGTGATTTTTATGGCCACCTCACTCCCTGCTCTGTGAAAGTTGCTTGGACTTGGGTAAGAGTGCAAACAAAATCATAAGCAGAGTGCCAGGGTATGGACACATTTCGTTCACAAACCTGACTTAAAGCCGTGTGTTTTTTTCCCCCTTTCCGATGGCAGCCAATTTTAGAATCAGGAGCTGTAGAGCTACTTTGTGGATTAACACAAAGTGAAAACCCCGCTTTACGAGTGAATGGAATTTGGGCTCTTATGGTACGTTTCACTCTTTTATGTATGTCATCATTTGCAAAGAGAATAGAGCTGTTTTCAAAGTTAAAACTAAAGAAGGTACTATTTGAAACGTGGAGTTTTCTGTTTAAAAAAACCTTAACTATTTTAGCCTAGTTTCCTTTTATTTATTTACTTTTCGTTATTTTTAATTGTTGACAGCATTACAAATGTCCCTTATTTCTCCTCTTTGCCCCCTCCCTCCACTTCCCACCCTTCCCCAGTCCTTCACCACACTGTTGTCTGTGTCCATGGGCTGCTCATATACGCATATAAATTATTTGGTTAATCTCAGTTTTCTAATGACCTAGGACCTAGCAGACTCCATATTCAGCTTTCAGATTTAAACATAAACAAGTTGCTTGGCCACTGTGTGCCTCTGTTCTACTAATAAGAAAAGTGGACAGATGTTGAAACTTGACTCAAATTAATTTTGGAAAATAAATTTTCCTCATCATGAACATATTGATATCTGTATAGAGGTACCTACTTTATTTTTTTTATTTTTTTGTTAATCCTCACCCTAGGATATTTTTTCCATTGATTTTTAGAGAGCGTGGAAAGGAGGGGGAGAGACAGAGAGAGAGAAACATCTATGTGGGAGAGACATATCAATTGGTTGCCGCCTGCATGCCCCCACGACTGGGAGCCGGGGATTAAGCCTGCAACCGAGGTACGTGCCCTTGAGCCAGGGATCAAACCTGGGACCCTTCAGTCCGAGGACCAACACTCTAACCATTGAGCAAAACCCATTGGGGCAGAGCTACCTACTTTACAAAGCACTTTTGTGTCTTTAGGGTTTTTTTACATTTTTATTTATTTAATTTTTTGGTATTTTTTATTTATTTTATTGTTGACAGTGTCACAGATGTCCCTCCCTCTCTATCCCCCTGTTTCCAGCTCCTGCCCCACCCCGGGCCTTCACCACACTATTATCTGTGTCCATTGGTTATGCATAATAAGCAAATACTTTTAAGTCATTTTCAAAATGCATGGCACAATATAGTTGTTAATAAGTAATTTTGTTATTAGAGTACACAGAAGGCAACTTGATAAACATAAGGATATTCTCAAAAGTAATAATGGATTTTGTATTTATTTGAGAAATCTTAAAGATACTCAACTGCCTGTGCAGAAAGTAATCATATTCCTAATAAAGGAATATATATAGAAGTGACAGTTATCTTTCTCTTGACAGAATTATAGGTAATTAATAGGAATCAGAAAAATAATGTGACATAATTAAGGATTTTTTGCAGATTCTATAGTACTTTGAAAATAATCAGAGGTACTATTTTTTTAAATATATTTTTATTGATTTCAGAGAGGAAGGGAGAGGGAGAGAGAGAGATAGAAACATCAATGATGAGAGAGAATCACCAGTCAGCTGCCTCCTGCATGCCCCCAACTGGGGATCAAGCCCACAACCTGGGCATGTGCCCCTGACCAGAATCGAACCCGGGACCCTTCAGTCTGCAGTCCGACGCTCTATCCGCTGAGCCAAACCAGCTAGGGCCAGAGTTACTATTAAAAATATAATTTAATAAAGCAAATGTAGACATAATTCTTGACATTTCTTTAATCCTTTCAGAACATGGCATTTCAGGCTGAACAAAAAATAAAAGCAGATATTTTACGAAGCTTGAGTACCGAACAGCTATTCCGGTTATTATCAGATTCAGATTTGAATGTGCTGATGAAAACATTGGGACTTCTTAGAAACCTCCTCTCCACTCGGCCTGTAAGTACAACCACCCAGACTCGGCCTGTAAGTACAACCACCCAGGCTTCCAGATGAGCTACCTCTGCATATGCATCGTAACACATTGCCCTCCCCTCTTCTCCCAGCAACATCTACCCACAAGTGTGATCGAAAAACTGCTTCTTCCCAGAGAAGCAAGGAGTTGATTTCTAGACCTGTCCCCTTCATAGGTGTTCTGGAAGCTGCTTCACCATATATGGCCACCTGACCCTGCATTCCTTCACTGCCTGTCCTGTCTCCCTCTCCTTCCGCCTTGCTGCATATGAACTTGTCTTAATTGGTTACTTTATTCTTACCTGGTTTGCTGGCCATGTGGGTGTTCTTACCAGCCTAAGTGATTATCTCTGGGGCTTCTGATTCTTTCACTTTAGAGAATCCCCTCAGGGCCATTCCTTAGACATACACCTCACACTCACCCAGCCCACAGTTACTAGACTGATCGCTGAAGATGTCAGCGTGGAGAACAGTGGATATATGTCAGAGCAGGAGAGGCTGAGCCTTGCTCTGAGGTCCCTCTCATTGTTCTTTAATGGTCCCTGAGCAACATTGTCAGGGGCCTTTCATGTAGATGAAAAAACATGAGTGGTTTCTTCTCTGTGCCTCACTTGTTGTTGTTTTTATTCAATTTATTTAAAGAAAAAAACCAGTTTACCCATTTCTCCCATCCTACCCCCAAACTGTCTCTGTATCTGTAAGCATAATATTCTTATTTATATAAACATATACCTTACATATTATTTATTATGTGTTATTATTTATATTTCACTTGTTTTTTTAGTCTTCTTTATACATTTATGCTCAAAGATAGCAAGTATATCTATACCATGTTTTCCACATCTCTGGCTTCCACATCTCCCTCACCCATTTTTATGTGCCTACTTTTTCTTTAATATATTTGCATTTGATGATCAATGTGATTATAATTCCATATTCTATCAAGCCAAGTCTACGCTCTCTTCATCCTAAAGTCATAAAAAAAAATGTTGAAGGCAAAATGCAGTTTCAAACACAATTCTTTGGCACCTAGTTCTATTGCTATAATGCTCTCTTTGAAGTATAGTTGTATATTTAGAAGGCTCTGTTCTCTCCTGTGGGACTTTTTCTTTGTTCCCCAAGTGATAATTGTGGATTTCCCATTGTTTTGCAGCATATAGATAAAATCATGAGCACTCATGGAAAGCAGATTATGCAGGCCGTCACTCTTATTCTGGAAGGGGAGCATAACATTGAAGTCAAAGAGCAGGTATGTGTTCCCTTCCTTTGAGGAATATCTTCTGATTATTCCAAGAAAGATTTGAATTCTTCCCCCTGGCCCTGGCTGGTGTGGTTCAGTGGGTTGGGCGTTGTCCTGTGCACCAAGGTACTTACCCTTGACTGGAATCAAACCCGGGACCCGTCATTCTGAGGGCTGACGCTCTATGCCAACTAAGGCAGGGAAGGCTTCTTGGAGGGAGTGACACTGAGTCCAGGAGCACAGTCAGTCAGGAATCACTCAAAGTGAAGAGAAGTGGAGATAATTTTCTCCAACTTTAATCCACATTTTGTTTCCCTTTGTGTTCCTCTAGTACAGCGGTTCTCAACCTGTGGGTCGCGACCCCCTTTGGGGGTCGAACGACCCTTTCACAGGGGTCGCCTAAGACCATCGGAAAACACATATATAATTACATATTGTTTTTGTGATTAATCACTATGCTTTAATTATGTTCAATTTGTAACAATGAAATTGGGGGTCACCACAACATGAGGAACTGTATTAAAGGGTCGCGGCATTAGGAGGGTTGAAAACCACTGCTCTAGTAGGTTTCAAAAAAGTGTGGGTTCTAATTGCACGTGGCTAGTGGACAGGGCTCAGGCCTTCACCCAGAAGGTCATGCGTTTGTGAACAAGTAGCATTTAGAGGGAGAGGGAGGGGACTTGCGACACTTCTGAAGCTTCCACCAAAGAGACGACCCCTTTGAGGAAACCTTGTAGGGAAGTAACAAGAGCTTCTCTCGGAAATGGAGTTTTCAAGAAAATAATATTAAGTTATGTTTTCCCTTTCATTTATGTGATAGCATGAACTATAAGACATGCCTGCCTTTGCCCAGCGATGACTTATGCCAGGAAAGAAACCACTGAAATGTTTGGGTTCCTTGGGCTCGTTGGCAGTGAGGCCAGGGAGTGAGAAATTAAGACATTCAAAGTGGAATGTGTGAAAATCCCAATTTCCTGGGAAATGTCTCACATTCTTGAGAGAGCTGAGTCAGGGACTTCAGAGTTCTCCTGATCACTGGCCCTTTGTTCTTTCCAGACACTGTGCATCCTAGCCAACATCGCAGATGGCACAACGGCAAAAGAACTCATAATGACCAATGATGACATCCTGCAGAAAATCAAGTATTACATGGTAGGCCTTTGTTTCCTTTCACTGCTCTACACTAGCCACACATTAGAAGGCAGGGACTTCTAACAGATGCAGGGAGCTCTCTTCTATCGTGAGGAAGAAAAAACAACAGCAAGTCCTGGAGGCTGTGCCATTGGCAGTGTTACCACCCACCAACCCAGTCACGACCCCAGTCCCCCCAGTCATCTGATTGCCTCCCTCTTATTCAGTGTCCTCCAATCCCTGTCCTCCCTCAAGGCTTCATTCCTATGTGGAGGACCGCTCTAGCCCTCTGGCACCTGTTCTTTGATCCGTTTACTTTCAAACACAATCTGCCACCTGCTTCCAAACATTTCAGCCACCAACTCTTATGACGATGCCCTGGATCTTACCACCAGAAACTGCCTGTTGCCAAAATGTGGCTATCAAGCATTCTTGCTCACTTCACTGTTGATGTCTTCTTGCAGCACCCTAAACATGGGTGACCCTGTGTTCTCTTTGCCATGTCAGAGCTGACTGCTATAGAGAATGGCACAGAACTAGGCTGGCTGGTTTCTTGTTAAATTCATTCCAGAACCCAGATAGGCACTCAGCACTGCCTATTGCCCTCCTGTGGTTCTCCAGCAAGCTGGCACCCTTATTCTCTCTCTCTTTTTTTAAATTATTTTTCCCCATTGATTTTTAGAGAGAGTTGGAGGGGACAAACAGAGAGAGAGAGAGAGAAACAGTGATTGGTTTCCTCATTCCTCAGGCCTGCAACCGAGGCCCTTTGACCAGAATCAAACCCGGGACCCTTCAGTCCATGGGCCAGACTTTATCCACTGAGCCCTGACTGGTTTGGCTTCAGTGATAGAGCGTCGGCCTGCGACTCAAGGGTCCCAGGTTCGATTCTGGTCAAGGGCATGTACCTTGGTTGTGGGCACATCTCCAGTAGGGAGTGTGCAGGAGGCAGCTGATCGATGTTTCTCTCTCATTGATGTTTCTAACTCTCTATCCCTCTCCCTTCCTCTCTATAAAAAAAATCAATAAAATATATTTAAAAAAAAAAGTTCCTTAAAAAAAAAAAAGACTTTATCCACTGAGCCAAACCGGCTGGGGCAACACCCTCATTCTCCACAAGAATAGGTTCTTGCCTTCCGTTCTTTCAACCTCATCCCTTCTGCCCCTCATCACTCCTAGTGATGACCTCACTTTTTGTTTTATTAAGAGAAAAGAAGCCAAAATCCTTCAGTGGTTCCCTGTTACACCTTGAATAAAATCCATCCTCTCCTATGATGGCCTGTGAAGTCCCACATGACCTGACTTGTCTTCCTCAGTTCACACCAGCTATGCAGCTCCTTTGTACCTCAGACCTTTTCAGGAACTTCCCCTTCCTCTCAAAACCCCCAGCCCCTTCCTCTTTGTACAACTGACATCGTCTTCGAGTCTCTGCTTAAATGTCGCCTCCTTCAAAGAGATCTTTTCTGTACACTCCACCTAAATTAGGTTCCTACCCCTCCACCTTCCAGTTTTCTCTATCACAGCAATTTGTTTCTGAAAACGTATTTATTTGAATGAATGATGAACTTACACATAGTAAATGCTTATTGTTGTACTGTATACAAGTTCATTTATTCAACAAATATGGCCTGAGGCTAAGAGCAGATGATAAGTTTTGTTTTGTTTGTCTCAATGGAGCCCAAGCTGGACACCTCCTAAAAAAAGTGTTGGCTTGTAGAAGGAGAAAAGAATCACCAATCATAGAATGTAATTGAGGAAGCCACATCCATTTCTTTGTCTGTGCTTAGTAGAGAGAGAGTCCTGCATGGTCAGATAAGTCTGCCCTAGCATATATCACTGGCATTTCTCAGATATGAATAAATTATTTAAATGTACTGGGGACTTTTTTTGTGGGTTTTTTTTTTTTTTACACCTGTAGGAAAACCACTTGTAAAGACTGTTTAACCATTGGGCCCTTTTTCATTTAGGAGAAAGCATAAATGATAAATGATCCAAATAGTTGTGCTTTCAGTACATAAAGAAAAATAAATAGAATTGTGTTTCAGACCACAATTGTGTTTTATTTTCCTTTTCTGCATCAAATAGGGTCATTCACATGTCAAGCTGCAGCTTGCCGCTATGTTTTGTATATCAAACCTCATATGGAATGAAGAGGAAGGTAAGAGATTGGTGAGATTTGTTCTGAAATGATGGGAAGGAAGTCCCACTCGGGGAAGGCAGCAGGCGCCCCTGAGATCTTGGGTTGAGGCACTGCTCACTGGGCCCCAAGCACCCAACAGCATCGCCCTGAGAAGCTGTGGGACTAGCCTGAGTCAGCTGGACAGTTAACACTGAGCCCCCACCTTAAAGTCAACACTGTAGAAGTAAGTGGTAGTCCCTGCTCTGAGAGAGCTGAGGAGGAGGGCCGTGAGGTGCACTTGAAGAAGACGAGAGGTGGGAGTGAGTGGGAGGACAGGCCTTTCACTGTTGCAGAGGAGTGCATGTCAGGACTGCGGGCGCATAAGCTTAATGGAGAAGAGGGTGCATTGGTGAGAAATGAACAGTACGTGTGACTGTGAAGCAGGCAGTCTGTCAGGAGGTCCTCCACCTTGGCTGTTTACTAGAACCTCTGGGGAATTTGCACCAGACTAATTACATCAGAATCCGTAGGCGTGGGCTCCAGGCAAAAGAGTTTTTAAAACTCCCCAGATGATTCCAACCCCCCCCCCCCCCGATGCAGGAGCGCACTGGGTCTCAGTGCTGGGTTGGCTGCATAAAAATCACCTGGGAACTTTTGAAGATGCGGATTTCTGGGCTCCATCCCTAGAGATTCTGGTTTACTCGGTCTAGACGGGGTCAGTGCAGGAGTGAGTCACGGAAGCTCTTCAGTGGGGAGGAAGGTGATTCCTCTGCTCAGCAGCTGTATCCAGAACAAAGCAGGTGGAGGAGAAACTGGATTCAACGTACAGACCCCAGAGTCCAAGTCTGGTGCCAGGGAAACAAGGCTGCCCTCAGGAGGTCCTAGTCTATTTGGAAGCTAGACCAGAGCCGTGTGAAGTTGGAACTGCCACACGCTAACGAGAGGCAGCAGGAAGTGCTGGGAGGTCAGTGGAAGGTGGAAGAGAACAGAAAGAGGAGACCAAGACCTGCTGTGGGTAGGAAGAGCCTGGCTTGGTGGTGACAGAGGACCCGGTGCCAGGCTGAAGAAGCTGACCGGTCCATGGAGAAGTTAACTGAGGAGCAGACCTCAGGATGGACTGCAGGAAGGAGGGTTGAGAGGCAGGGAACCCAGTTAGAAATCTGTTGGAGAATCCAAGCCAGAGGGGATCCGATACACAGGGAGAGAGGAGGCCAAGGGGAAGGAGGGGGGACAGTGAAGAACGCTGGTAAAGTAAGGCTCCAGGTTGTTGATTGTACACTAAGGTGAGCAACTGTCTGGGTCATGTGCCCAGTAACCTGTTAGCTTTAATCTCTTAGGTTCACAAGAACGCCAGGATAAATTACGAGACATGGGCATTGTAGATATTCTACACAAACTGAGTCAGTCACCAGATTCAAACCTATGTGACAAGTGAGTATCGAAAGGGCCTGCTTTGGGTACATTGGATCCTCTTATGAAGAATTTGAATTGCTTAGCAATTAACATGGCCAAACTTAAAATCTTTTAGATTCTTGGATTCCCTTTTTAATTTTCTGTGAGCCAACTGTGTGACATTTGAGTAAGAGATAAACTAGTAATTAGCAAATTAATAAAGATCCTCATCTTACTCTGAATTAACATGAGTCTGGGCTGTCTTAGTGGGTACCTGGAAAGGATCCAGAGGCCATTCCTTACATTCCTTTAATCATTAGAATAGAAATGCATGTGGCTTTCAGAAAAGAAGGCATTCACTAATAAAACATTAGCTCAAAACCTCCCTGAGCACTGCCTTTTGCCTGTCTAGCCTGGCTGCTGGGGATGCAGCAGTGACCACTGAGGAGTCCCTGTTGTCAAAGAGCTCACCCTTTCCTGGGAGAAGCAAGAATCATAATCAGAGATCTCTCTAACCCCAAAATAGTTAAAAGTGTTCTTCCTAGTGTGTGCACTCCCTTATACTGCAGCCTTCACTTTTCAGCTCACTTCCGTGCATAACAATGACTACAGCAACGAGCATCAGCTCTCATCTCCAGATTCTTAAGCACAACCTAAGCCTGGTCCTGCCTTTCTCATCCTCTACGTTCCCCCTCCAATCCCATGCCCACCCTACCTGCCCTGTCCAGTATCACATCTTCATGTTCATCTTGATTCACCAATTCATTCTCCTCTGCTCTGAATCCCCATCCACTCAGCAATGTTTGTTTTTTAATACTAACCTCCGCCAGGCACTGTTTTAGGCATTAGTGAGATAACGGTGAATAAAATTAATGAAGTCCTTTGCCTTCATGGCACTTACATTCTAGTACAGAAGACGGACAGTAAGCAAATAAATATGGAATATGATAGCAGGAAATGAGATTTACTATGAACAAAAAGCATGTGAGGGACTGGAGAGTAAGAAAATTTTCACACAGATTAGTCAATAAAGGCCTCTGAAAATGTGACCTTTGATCAAAGACCTGGATGAAATGAGTCTGCCAGGCAGATGTTCAAAGGAAGAGTGTTCCAGGCAGAGGGGGCAGAAAGTGCAAGGCCCTGAGGCAGTAATGAGCTTGACATGTTCAAGGAATAGCAGGAAGACCACTGGGGTTGGAGGAAATGAAACCAGGGGGAAAGTGATAGAACGGAGCTCAGGGAGGAGGTGGTGAGCACGTGAAGAGCCTTGTAGCCAATAGTAAGGACTTTGGATTTCATTCAGAGTTTAATAGGAAGTCATTGGAGCGTTTTGAGCAAAAGAGACATTATCTGATTTGAAGTTTTAGAAGATCACTCTGGTGGCTGTGTAGAGAATCGTCCGTAATAAAGCAAAAATTGAAACAGGGAGACTAAAGGCTATTGTCCTGTGCATAAGAGATGAGGGTGGTAGTGGTAGACGTATTGAGAAGTGGTCAGATTCAGGACTTAATCTAAAGGTAGAGCCAACAGGATTTGCTGAGGGATTCGATATAGGATGTTAAGGAAAGAGAGGAAAAGAAACTGCCTAGAGCAGTGGTTCTCAACCTTCTGGCCCTTTAAATACAGTTCCTCATGTTGTGACCCAACCTTAAAATTATTTTTGTTGCTACTTCATAACTGTAATGTTGCTACTATTATGAATCGTAATGTAAATATCTGATATGCAGGATGGTCTTAGGTGACCCCTGTGAAAGGGTCGTTCGACCGCCAAAGGGGTCGCGACCCACAGGTTGAGAACCACTGGCCTAGAGTTTTAGCGTGAGCAACTGCATAGTGGGTTGTCCTTGACCAAGATGGTGAAGAATATGAGCGAAGTGGGTAGGGAGAGGAAGATCAGAAGTTCTTGTTTGGGCGAGCCAACTTTGCGATGCCTATTAGATAAACGAGGGACTTGGAAGAGTGGGGCTGTGCATATAAATACGGTGATTCTGGGGCAGGATGTAGTATCAGCCATAAACTTGTTTCTGTAGGAGAATTTCCTTGTAGAACTGAACTCATAACTTAGAGACAGTTTGAATAGAGCTTTCTGTTCTGATGGGTTGGTCTATTTGAACTATCATTTTTATAGTCTTAGATAATTGCAAGAATATCCCTTAGTGTACCACTTTTTAAAGTGTAGATTATATCTATTACTTTGCTATATAGAAACTGCACTTGAGGCCAGCTTATTGCATGCCCGGTCTACTTGGTATACTTTCATCAGCCAATAGTAACTGAAAATGTTAGCCTTTCCTCCATTAACATAGAAGGGAAGACCACTGCTAAAACCTGACTTCCTAATTCCCACAAGCTCATAACAGGAGCAGTGAAGGAGGCCTCCTCAGTCCTAGCTCAAAGGAAGACACCTTTACAAGGATCAGGAAGGTCAAATCGCTGCCCACATTGCATCTTTCCTCTCCAACTAGTTACCTTCTTTCCCAGTCACAACAACCGCACATCCCACATTGTCAGTGTCATTAGGAGAAGATTTACATGAGCTTGTAACCCTTTCTGAGGCATTGGAACCATGACAGCCTCATCCCATGAGCTTCTGGCCCCTCCTGTGCACCTTTAATCAGCACCTAAACACCTTCCTGGGTCAATTTTAGTTTCCCAAACCCTAAGCTTCCTCCCCGGTGTCCTGTAGCACTGGGTAAAACCTGCATGGCAATAGAACATAATTCCAGATCCGAGACAACTCATGCCAGTGACCAGGAAAACTATAGACCTTCACTGGGCTGCAGAGGTGTAAGGACTAGAGCAGCCCTGTCTAAGGGAACCACAGAAGAGGAATGGAGCCAGCCTGGTGTGGAAGTGTCTTCTGACTGCAGAATTCTGCCCCTGCGGCCAGGTGCCCAGCTGGCCTCACCCGGTTCCCTTTGGGGGAGTCTAACATTTTAGACTCCCCATTACCATCTTTGAGCCGCAGGGTTTTCCCCCTTTTTAATACTTCTGAGATGAAGACTGACAGGAACTTTGTGATTTCAGGGCCAAGACGGCGCTGCAGCAGTATCTGGCGTGACGGGAGCATCCGGGGCACCCGCGAGCATCCCACATCCTTGGTAAAGGAAGTACAGGAACTAGCCTCATTTGATTCCTTCTATTTGCACACGTCACCTTGGACTGCAGGGAGCTGTTTTGCAAAAGCAATTTGGTAGGCTTAGATCTCAAATTCATCTTGAGAACATATTTTTGAGGTAGTAATTTCCTCAGAGGACTGTCGTGTTTTGTTTTGGGGGGTTTTTCTGAGCTACCTGGACTCTTTATTAGAACAATCAATCATTTTCCTTTGGACCTACAATTTTTTGCCTATGCTGCAGCCACTTTGTGAGTGAGAATGAGTGTGTCTGTGCATACACAGATGTATGTGTACGTGTGTGTGTGCACGTGGGTCAGGATGAATGGATGTGTGTGTGGGGGGGGATACCTCAAAATTTTCTTTTCTTATTTTGTGTGAAAATCTCTTTTCTACAGATTTTCCAGGGTTTAAGCATTGCTTGCTGTATAAAATAACTTTACTGAATTATATACAGTTTGAATGAAATGTTATTTTAAAAACAAAACAATTGTTAAGTGTTCCATAAAGGTTATGTTGAATTTTGATCAGATGAATATTTGTAAGTAAAAAATATATGCATTTCTGAACCTCAACTTACATAGATTTTCTTTATAAAAGAACAAAGAAAAAAAAAAGAAAAAGAAAAGGTTGGCTATAGTTGGCCTGAATAACAGGCACGATATATGGTGCTGTGCAAAATAGTAAGCTAGCATCTTACTGCCGTCAATATCAGCCTAATTCAATAAGCTCTCAGACTTCCAGGTCGGATGGACAGGGTGAAGGAGAGTGAGGGGACAGAGTCACCATAGGTTTTTTGAAACATCAAAGGGAAACATAACTACTGATAGTGGAAGCCCAGCCATAACTCTGGGCTGCCCTTGGCAGGAACTGGGCACAGAGCGCCTCCCAGCCGCTCTCAACCCTGCCGTTGGTGCAGCAGTATCTGGCAGGATTTGAACCAGTCACAGAACCTTGTGCTCAAAACTAAAGTAGCTCCTCACTTCCTGGAAACAAAGTCTGGTCACCTTGTGCTGCCTGAAGCAGCACACATCGCTGTGAAACTCGAGAATGCTCTTCAGACCCATCTGTGGAAAGAAGCAAAGAGCAGGATAGTGTGGAAAGCTGTTTTTCTCTTAGCGACACTGCTATTGAGTGTCCTTTTGTAAAATGAAATAGGAATGTTAGTGAGAGATGCAGCTAAGATCTTTTCCTGCAAGAAGCCAAAAACACTGAAGTTTGAGAGAAGAAAAGGGACTCTCCCTGGGAGGACCAAAGAGGAATCCTTTCTACAAGCGAGTGTGCTTGGTCCTTCTGCAGCCCTCAGCGTGGTGCCTGCTCCACCTGCTGGGTCAGCTTCAAAGTGAACTCAACCGAAATTGCTCTTGACTGAAGGTAGAACCAGCCTTCCTTTCCCTTTGTTCAAAGACGGTCAAAGGCACTGTGGCCAGGAAGGGAGTCTGCGGTCAGAAGCTTGCCGTGGGCACATGCCACACAGGGTCCCGAGCCCACCAGCCACTCCTGATGAGGTCGCGCACATTGCGGGCACCCGCCACCAACCTGTACCTTCCTTGGAAGATTCAAATATGTTTGATTGCAGATGAATGTTTTTAAATGTATTTAACGCAATTTTTCCTGTTCTCAACCTGACCACACGCTATTCAAACACAGAGATTTCCAAGTTGTTACTTTCTCAAACATCATTGATTTAAAAATCTGTCCCAACAGGCACTTGGGTTTTGTGCAGCTGTCAGTGTGCTAATGTGAGGACATCCTTGCTTGGCACTTGAAACACAAAACAGTATGGAATTGGTATTTAAAAGTACCAGGTAAATACACAGAAACCAATAGCGAATTGCTGAGACAATCTTGAACCCAGATAGCATTAGGAAGCTAACGGCCCAATGAAATAACACGTTCACACTTAACCTCTGTGGATAAATCTTGCCTGTGGCTATAAACAGATGATCAAAGAAAAAGTGCTTTACTATAATTAACTTTTCTGATTTCAATGAAGGAAATGTATTTATTAAAACAAAGCTGTTTGCTGCTCTACACAGGTGCAGTGTTCTGTCAGCAAGAGGTGGGAGGAATGGGATGTGATCTTGTGTCTTCACCCAAGTTCTTAACTAAGCTTCTCGCTCTCTCTAATACTGCATTCTGTTTCTCCTTTTGTGCCCTGATTGTAACCCAAAACTTATGAACTAGAAAAGAATGTCCAGTTTAATGAGTTGCATTTTTTTCCCTTGAGCACTTTATGTGGAACAATACGTGTTCTCCTGGTAGTGTTTGAATGATATGATTTTAACACATGCTAATAAAAGCCAAGAAAGATCATAGCAACTTCTATAAAGGAGTCTGTTTTCCAAACGTCTGGAACACTAGGAAACATTAGAAGATAGTGTGTACTGGCTTCTGCAACCTGTGATTCTTGGTGAATGTGAAACCAGGAAGTGACTTCACATTTCAGAGGGGGTGGCTGGTGCCGGAGGGTCACTACAGCTTCCAGGAGCCTCTGCAGCAGTCTGGGAGCCCCTCTCCTTCTGGCCTCCTGAAGGCCAGCAGACCCTTTACAGGTGGCCACTCCCAGCCACCAGGATGCCCCCAAAGTTGTGTCCCCCTCCGTCCTCTCCTCTTCCCCTTAGTATGCCACCTGGACTCAGGCCCAAAGCTTGGCAAATGACCAGCTGCACAGTGCATGAGCCGCCGCTGTCCCTCTGCAAGGACCCACAGGAACGTCACTCCCCTGCTGTTCTTGTCCCACCTCTAGAATGTAGAGAAGCACCTCCTATCTCTTGGTCTCACTAGAAACAGGAAGAAAGCCAAGGACACCTGCCCCAGAGCGTGAGGGGAAGATGGGGAGGTGATTGGCAGGGGAGGGAATTCCCCTGTCGTAGAGGAAACTTGGAATTGAGGCCTGAGAGAGGAGTCGAATGGGAGACTGACCCCAGATCCTGATGGAGAGTCGACAGGGAGCGATCCCAACTCCTTGCCACCTGGTGCTGCCCAGCCCTGCCCCTTTCTACTGACTCTGATTGCTGGGCAAAGAGGCACATGTCGGTTCCCAGCATGAGGGGAGTTTTGATCCATGACCTAACTTCAGAGGAAGCTGAGGGGCCCCCCAATCCCAAGGGCCAGATGGGGCCCACTTGAGCCACCTGCCTTTGCCCCTCTGTCAGCAGCCCCGGCTCCTGACCTCGTCTGCCAGGCACTCAGCCCTCTTGCTGAGAGGAGCCTCCCTCTGTCTCCATGGGGCTGGGCTGCCTCCACCCTGTCAGGTACTCACACCCCAGATAGCAGCCGTCCTGCAGCCCCAGGTTTTCTTCTGTCGGAGGGAGCCAGGCCCGGGCTCTGCCAAGGAATTCTGCCTGCAGAGTGGGCTGACATTTTAGCCAAGCTCTGGACCCTTCTCCCCTCCATCTCCTACCACCTCCATCCCTCTGCCATGAACCTTGTGGATTCTGAGAAAAAGGCCCTACTGTGTAAAGGAAGGAAGGGTGTGTCAACACTTCCACTCCAGCCCTGTCACCTAGGGCCCCCGTTTCTCCCCTACCCTGCCACTCCCAGCCACTTCCTGGGAAGGCTTAAGATGGTCACAGACGCCAACACATCCTCCTCCACCCAGGCTCAGTCCTCGCCTACTCTTCTCTCTCCCCTGCTTCATTTCTCGTCTCTCACCTCTCCGGTGATGGAAGATCCTTGGCTTCCCAGCTTCTGGGGAGATCAGACAGCTGTCAGCTGGGTGTACTCCTAAGCCGCTCATTCAGAGCCACGCAGCGCCCGTGGTGTGGAAAACCAGGCCTAGGGCTCTGGCGATTCTCCAAGGCATTTGCCAGCTCTCACGGGGGCACAGAGCAATTGAATCCCCCTCTTGAGCCCATTCCCAAAGGGAAGAGCACATCCCCACGATGAGCCAGGGGGCCGGCGGTCTGCAACAGTGGGTTCAACTTTCCCGACGTGCCCTGTCAGGGAGGGCTCCGTTGTTCCCCACAGGGGCCTGTGCAGATGCTGATGAGCACAGCGGACAGCGTGCTTCCATCGTGAGGTGGCTCAGGTCTCCACTTTCATGCAGCTCGGCTCAGCCTTCTACCTCCAGTGCCAGCACATGCGCCCTATGCCCGAGGCTGCAGAAGGGATTGCCCCCGTGAAGAGCAGTCTTCTGGGGGCGAACTGCCCGTTTAAAGAACTTCAAGTCAGAGGAGCGAAGTTCTCTGGAGAAAATGAGCAAGTGAGAAGGAAATCGCTGACATTGGCCTCATGATGCAGAAGAACACGGCCTTTTGCTCACTCTGAGCGGAAAGGTGATGCCTGGGCTTAATGAACTTACAAGCAAACCAAAGAGCAAACCGGTAAGAGGGAGCGGCTGTGCATGTTAATATTCATGGGGTAATAACAGTTACTTCTTACTGAAAACCGGTTTCCCTCGAGGGCACAACCACGGAGGGAGGGCAAAGTCAGGCAATTCCGTGAAAGCTGGAGGCCACCGGGCCCATGAGGAGCTCTCGGGTTTTAAAATTGGGCTTTAGCCAGAATCTAACCCCAAAACGCGGGGGAAGGGAGCATCAGGAAAATAGATGAACCTGGCTCCAGTGTAACCACCAGCATTGCTTCAGGAACACCCCGATTTACTGAGGACCCTGGGGGCAGGCCTGCGTCATCCCCGGACTGCCCGTGTGGCGTGGACAGGCAGCATGAGGGCTTAAGGCCGGACTTCCCCTGTCTGCCTCCAAGCCCATCGGCCTGGCAGTGTCGTATCCAATCCTGTTGCACGGCTTTCAGGTTCCTAGTTACCCAGTTAAGCTCTGAAATTGTCTAAGCTGTAAAGTAGATTTATTCCAGTGTTTACTGGGGAGACACTGTCCTGCGTAACTAACTCCGTTTCCCCCGAGACAACACAGCAGAGTACAACTAATGTCCACTTGTTTTGTAAAATTCCAGAGATAGCCACAAAAGAAAAGTATATGTGCTATATACTGTTTAATAAGGCAGGAAACGATTTTATTATTCATGAAAGAGAGCTAAACTAAAAGAAATTGGTGCTCAAAAGAGTTAAGATCCGATTCTAGAGCTTTCCTTATGCGCAGCAGATGGGAACGTGCTGGCATTTCACTTGCTGGCCACGCCCTGGGTCACGTGCTGCGGAGGCTGCACATCCATCTCAGTGCACGTCCTCAGGGAAGGGAAGCACCTCGGTGGGGCCCACCACTCCTTCCTCGCGGTCTGTGGGACGACAGATGCTCTGTAGGATTCCTGAAACAGCCCCATCCCAGTCCTCTGTCCCACCCACCGTCCACAAAGAAACACAGGAAAGGGGGACCTAGCTACATCACAGACAATAAAGTTAGGGGTCAGGGGGGAAGGGACGGCAAAGAGAGGTCCTGATATGTGTGTTGGGGACCAGGAGTTAAAGAAGTAAGAGGATGAGTAACATTGGTTGAGCCCTTACTATGTGTCAGGCACCAGGCTAAGAACCTGGCACCCATGGTCTCCTCTCGCCTTCACAACAGCCCTATGAGGAAGACCCTTCTTGCAGAGGTATTATTATGGGGCTAAAATGGGTCTGTCATTATCTCCATTTCACAGATGAGGAAACTGAGGACCAAAAAGGTCAATCATTTTCCAGAGGCTATTCAGCTGGTAAATAGTGGAGCCAGGATTCAAACCTTGGGCTACCTGTCTTCAGTGACCTTGACCCTTGCCCCTTAGCAGAAAAAGTGCTGGGTACGTGGGAAGCACACTCTGCTCCTGACAACTAGAAAAGCAGGACACATCAAGCAAATGGGCGGAACATCAGCGCCCTGTGAGGCTGTGCACTTTTTCCTGGGCTGTGATCTGGCCTCAGCCCTTCTGGAATTCTCCCCTGTACCCATGATCACCTGAGACCCAAAAGTCAGCCTCATGATCTCCCAACACTCCCCCCAATGGCCCCGATGAGTATTCCCAGCCAATTCGCTCTCCTTAGACTTCAGTCTTGGACCTCAGGGAGACCTGCTTGTTTCCAATTGCCCCTCCAGAAAGGATGACCCTGTCCCATGACCTGGGGACATTAAGGAAATGCACTGGGGGCTCTGAGGGCAGGTGCCGGAGGAAACTGGCCTTCGCAGTGCCACCAGAGCACCTCCCGCAGGGCATGGCTTTGAGGAATCGCAACTCGCACTCGGGTGTGTGAACTCGGTACTTGCCAGGATTTCTCACCTCCCTAGAATCCATGGCACACTCAGCTTGCCCTCAGCTGGCAGGGGCAAGGATTCAACGGGGCCTGTCCTACCTGGCCTTGCCCTCAGAACACCTATTCTTACTTGGCTGCATTCAGATCTTGAGAAAATAAGGAACATAGCAAACATTTAGGTAAATATATTGAACATTTGGGCACACACGGGTTATCACCATTTCAGATCTGCATGAGGCCCCCTCTCCCCCCCCCTCACATCCTTTGCTTTTTCCCAGGACATTCACCCTCCGGTCCCTTCAGGCTCAAACTAGAACGCAGACCTCGGCAGCAGGAGCAGGGCCAGGCCTGGCTCTCCACGCGTGGAATGGGGTAAGTCCCGTGCGCTCCGGACGTCTTAGGTTTCTCACCCATATTTGGAGGTGATGACCCCGTATGCTTTTCCCAAAGTGTGGGGGCTGAGGGATATGAGGGTGACAGGGCCCTTCTGTGTAACCCTCAGCTCAGCGACCTCACCCACCAAGGGCCTAGCATGGGGCCTGCAGAGAACAGGGGAAGTGAGGGGATGACATCTGGCCACTCACTGGCTTGGATGTAGGCTTCCAGAAAGTTCTATTTTCCCAGTGGTTTCCACAGGAAAATGCAAAGAAACTTGGCAATGAAAATATGGCCCCAAAGTAAGAATGCCGCAAAAAAATGTAATAAGCTTTAACAGCCCCTGTTACTCTGAAAATCCAAGCAGATGGGGACTGCGACTGCAGCTGTATAATGGCTCCTGTCTGAGCAGCCTTATCAGATTGGAGACTTGGTTACCACATGGTTATCCCCCCCCCCCCCCCCCCCATATATTCACTAAAGATGAATAGAGACCAAACCTGCCTGGATGACTTACCCAGAGCGGCTTCCGGGACGTGGTCTGCAAACGTAAAGCTGGGGAAGAGCAGAGCCAGCTCTTGGCGGGCGTCCTCCGCGTCCCGGCTCCCGTGGACCGCGTTAAAGGGCACTTCCGTGCCGTACAGGGCGCGGAGACTGGGAGCATTGGCAACATGGACAAGACACAGTTGTTTCATTTGAAAGAGAAATGTTTTGCTCTCCGGCAACGTGGTCGCCAGCTACCAATGGGCACCCTGCACTTCTGCGAAATGGCTTTCTCTCGGTTGGAAATGCCAAGAACAGCAGCCAGGGTGACAGGCGCTGACATCTGTCCCGCCCGCCAGGGCAGCATTCTGGGCACGCTGCCTGGTGCTTCTCAAACGTGCTCTCATTTCACTTGTGCCACAGCCCTGGGAGGGAACGGTGGAAGCCCAGGGGCAGCTGTTTTACTGATATCATAACCAGGGGCTGGCGCCTGCCAAGGGCTTCAGATAGGTCTGCAGAGTCAACCCCCAGTAGCCCCATCAGCTAATGCTAATATTGCTAGGACTTCCTGTGTGTCAAGCACTGTCCTAAGCGCTTCATACATACAGGCTGTCCCCAAAAAATGTGTACATACTTTAACAGCTGGCAGCTCCATTTTGAAAGTGAAATGCATTTTAATAAACACTGCCTTTAAAATTATTCGAAGTGTGTGTGACATTTTTGAGGGACACCCTATATATATGCTCATTTAATCCTCACATCAACATTTGAGGCAGGTCCCATTATAGCACCCATTTTTCAGATGAGGGAATCGAGGCAGAGATTAAAGCATGGCCCAAGGTCACACAGTAAGAGGAAGAAGAGAGATTCTGAAATCTGTCTCTTAACCATGATACTCTCTAGCCCCCTTGATAGTTGCTCAGATCCCCATTTTACAGATGAGAGAACTGAGACCCTGAGAAGGGACATGCCTGAGTATATGGTAACCTAAGATCTGAGCACTGGGCTGTCTTTCGCTAGCCCAGGCTGCCTCATATATGAATGTCCCTGGCCCCTACAGCTACAAGGTGCAACCTCGGTTACTTAGCCTCTTGCTCATTTCTTTCCTGTTGGCTGGGCCTCTCACAGCTTCAAAGGAAAGAAAGATGTGGTGGATTTGGCATTGGTGGTGTCAGGCTAAAAACACACAGGGGCAAGGAGCAGACCAAGGACAATATGCAGGACAGCATGCTCACGCTCAGGGCACCCAGGGAGGGGAGTAGGCGTTGAGGGGCTTGAGTGCAGTGCATATTCCTAGACTCCACCCAGGTTCTGACTTTGCTGGCCTGGCGGGGGGGGGGGGGCAGGTGGGGGGGCCTGAGACCTGTTTCCTGGGTGAGTATGGCAGGTGGTCCTGAGACCACCCTTTGGGACCTTCTGGCTACAGAGAGAACAGTGAGGCCTGGGTCCAGCAGCAGCCTTCAGAATTGGGCAACAGAGGCAGCAAGGAGGCATTCAGCGAAGGTCAGGGGACTGGATCAGAGGGTGAGGATGTCAGGGTCTCCCCCAATATATAACAAAGGGGGTCGTGGCCATCAGAGAGCCCTCTGTGTTACCCACGATTCGGGGCTGAGCATTAGGCAGGGCTCTCTGCTTCCCCGGATGCAGGTTCTGAGATGGATGTAGGGACCCCAGCTAGTGACATCACCTGTCAGGCTGCTCCCTCCTGGCCACGTGCGGGTCACAGGGTCCCATGAGGGCTCGCCAGGCGGTGGCAACGTCCTCGGTGTCCTCAGTCCTGGTGAGGATCAGGAGGTGGCTCGGCCCACTGCACATGTGATGTACCAGCTTCTCAAATGCCTCCTGGAACAGGGAGGGGAGACGGGCCGAGGGTCAGCAGGGCCCGTCCCACCCACAGGATGGGCGGGGTCAGTGAGCAGCCTTGCCGCCAGCCAGCAGGCCCCTGAAGGGCCCCTGGGAGGGATGGTGGTGATGCCCCCCCACACCCAGAGGAACCAGGTGTAAGCTAAAGGCAGGAAGAGGAGACTTTGGGTTGACTCATTTGGGGTTGAACATGAGATTATAAGAAACTAGAGAACCTGTGCATGAAATTCATGCACTGGGGGGGGGGGGTCCTTCAGCCTGGCCTGCACCCTCTCACAATCCAGACGCCCTCAGGGGATGTCCAACTGACGGCTTAAACCCACTCGAGGGAAGCGGGCCTAAGCCATCAGTTGGACATTCTTAGCGCTGCTGCAGAGGTGGGAGAAACTTCTGGCTGAGCAGTGCTCCCCCTGTGGGAAAGCACTGACCACCAGGGGGCAGCTCCTGTGTTGAGTGTCTGCCCCCTGATGGTCAGTGTGTGTCATGGCAACTGGTCATTCTGCTGTTCTGTCGATTTGCATATTTGGGTTTTATTATATAGGATTAGGTAGGGGCATTTTTTAAAATCACATATATGGAAATCCTGTGGATGCTGGGTAACCAAGGGTGGGGTGTAGTTGAAACTTTTTTGTTTCTTTGTTGTTGTTATTTTTTTGGCGGGGGGAGGGGGTTGGCAGTACTTTAGAATCCTTCCTCTTCCTTCAAGTAACAGCTCTCTGGTTTTCCTTCCTGAACAGCCCTTCCCCCATCATTTGGCCCTAGTCTGGCTGACAACCATAATGTCTATCCACACCCCCATACCTCCCATGCACACACACCTCAACTAGAGGGAGGGCTGTGACCAAGTTAGGCCGCCAGCTCCTTCCACCAAGTCCATGAGCCAAGCAGATGCAAAGGGAGGTGGCTGAACCCGAGTCCAACGGCAGCACCTCAGCCCCCGAAGTGACTGTCCCTGAGGTTCCGCTCCTGACATTCCCTACAACTGTCTTGGTTCTTCTCCCCAACACCTTCTCGTTCAACTCTTCCTTCAGTTCCCAGAGTTAGGGAGTATCATTTCAATCAATCCCTTATTTCGTTACTTAAGGTAGAGTCCCAATCGCTTCCTGCAGCCAAAGCACCTTCACCGATGCAGCATCATGACTGAACCAGTTCACAGCCGCCTCCTGCTATATTCTTGTTCTTCATCATACTCTATTTTCTCCCAAACTAGTAATCTGTGATCATACTCGAAAGAGAAGAGATGGGAGTGGGTTGGACAATGGGAGCGGATGAGCTGACCTCTCCAGCTCTGTGTTGGTAGAAGAGTTGCATTTCTGCCTCCGTCATGGTCCTCTCTTCACTCATTATAATGTCAAACCCAGCTTCCTGGATCTGCAGAATATACACACACATTCTGAAAGGGTAAATGAAGCCCAAATTCCCATCTAAATGAGTTGAAAAGTAGAAGATAATAGAAAAGGCAACATTAAAAACAGTAGAAATCCTCATCTTTATCATATCTTTCCTGCTTAGATTTTTTAATTTTAATTTACTTAAATGGAATTTTGGTTAAAGCTCCTTAAAAGCGTTCTCTCCCTACTAGGAAGGACACTGCTCCACGATGCCCACCCCCATTTCCACCAGAGGAGACCCGAGGACAGCCTGTGGGGTACGTGTTGTCCCTCTACCTTCATGATAATCTCATCAGTCTTCCCGTGGCCGACTGCATCTGGTTTAATGATCGCCAAGGTACAGGTCTTCTCTGATGAAGCTGTAATAAGCCAAGGGTGGTGCTGTCAGGCGCTGGGCTCATCCACCTTGGAGGCTCTCAGGAGGCCACCTGCAGGGACCACACAGCCTCTGCACACAGCTCCCAGGGGTCCCTCGCCTGGCCTCTGGCTGTGCCCCTGCAGACCTGGACTCTAGTGGGAGCACAGGTCTGGCTCCAGACCTCAACCTCAACCTCAACCTGGCTGCAGGGGACGGAGACATGCTAGGGACACAGACCTGGGAGGGAGAGAGGGGGGATGGAGGGGGAAGGAGCAAGGGAGGAGTGGGAGGAGATCAAAGACTACCCAAGAACAGAAACCCAGAAACAGCTGAGAGAGGAGGCCTGCAGGGGGAGGAGGGGGGAGCCGTGGCAGAAGCAATGCAGGCCTGGCTACTCCTGTTCCTTCCTGTCACCCTCTCATGATTCCTGGCTCTGACTGCTGACTGCTGTGTTCTCCTCTCACTCTGCGGGCTCCTTTGCCAATGCTTCTTTTTTACTTCCCTGGCACATGGCCAAGGAGGGCTGCCCTGGGCCCTGAGTCCACATGACCCTTCAGCGCACATGACCAAGCTGCAGCTCTCCAGTCTTCTCTGCCTCCGTTCAACTTCCCCGCAGAGAAGCCCAAATTGGCCAGCATGTTGTTTGCAGCTAAGGCACCAGTCATAGCTCACCGACGTGTCTACTGACTGGCTGCCCTTTGGTCAGTGTCCATGGGTCCAATCAGCCATGACGCTGAGGGAAGTGCCACATAAGCACAGTCCACTGCTCAGGCTGCCGGCGCTGCAGGGAGCCCGGTGTCCAGTCATGAGTCTGTCCTGTTGTACTGCTGTTTGTATGAACAGGGCCTTGGGGACCAACCTCTGCTCTCCACAGACTCTGTGTCCTCCTAGCCTCTTCTATTCTCAACTTTTACATCAATTGTGTTGCAATGAGACTTGACAATATCCGGAAATCTCAAAAAAAGTGTACTGCAAGGTGTGAATTATTTGAAGCAACAACTCTACTCATTTCCCTGTGAATTCCACTTACAACATCCTATGAGCACTGTGAGCACTTAGACCTTAAGGGATCTTACATAAACGTCCTTATACATTGACCAGTGAGTGAGGTCAGCTCAGAGGTACACGGTGAGAAGAGAATTGGCCAGATCAGGGGCCTGGAGAACTCCAGCTTGAAAAGGGAGTAAAAGAAAAGACGCCAGTGAAGGGGAGGCTGAGGAGAGGCCAGACACGTCGGGGGAAACCGAGAAAGGCCGTGACCAAGAGAAGCCAAGAGAGAAGAGGGTTGGAGAAGGAAGACATTGCGAACGTCTGCGTCTGTAGGAAGATGCCGTAGGACATGACTGGGAACGGTCCCTTGGATTTGGCATGAAGAAGGTCAGTGGTGCCCTGGGCAGGAGCAGGTCAGGGGGAGCGGGCGGCAGCCGCAGGTGGGGTGGCCCCCGGACTGTGGACAAAGTTCCGGAAGCTCAGAGTGGGGGAGAGGAAGGCCAGGGCAAGGACAGGGTTTTGCATTGTTTTCTAGGATTGGATTTGAAGGAAAATAAGGGGGAGGGGACTCACAGGAGATAATCCAAAAAGGAGGCAACAAATGTGTCCTACAGAAGTCAAGTGGACGATTTTTCTTTTCACACTGGAACCATCTTGCTCTCCTAAACTGGGCCTCTCCTTGCTAGAACCCAACTCAAACATCCTCATTGCCCACACACCAGTACACAGCCTTTCTGCTTCGTGCAATCATCGCATCTTCCTTCTCTTTCCAGCCCTGTCCCCGAACTTAGGCCTGGCTGCCTCTGGTGTCTCAGTGGCCTTCCTCCTCCCCAGCCACAGCCTGGCTGACGTGGGCTTCTCCCCACACTGTCAGGAGGCTCGGGAAGACCTGCCGGGCAGGGCAGTGTAGAATCCTGAGCTGTATGTGGGGGAGCAAGGGCAGAGGGTGCAGGGCTGTGGGAAGAGGAGGTGTTCAGCTGACTTTCTGATACTTCAGAAAAAAAGGTGAGAAAAAAAAAGAAAGAAACTTGAGCTCTTTAGCTGAGATAAGGATGAAGGAAACATCAGCATCGTTACTTTACAATATTAGTGTCGATCTCCTCCACTTTATTCCATGGAGCTTTTCCTGACGCCCGGAAGTCACCGTGAAAGTCACACTTGCTCTATTTGAACATGATCAGAAAGCTGTGAAAAGTGCCCAAAATGCCATTAAAGGACAGAAAGGAGACATGAAATGATGCTGGAGGACAGGTGACCGGAGGCAAAACGTTTTCCAAGTGGCTCAGGTGGCTCGATAAACTGACTACTCGTATGTTTTTTAAAAACACATCAAGTCGGAGTCTGCTTGGCCTTTTGGCCTTGCTGGTTGGCTGGACACTCACCCACGTCCACGTCTTCGCCACCGTCCTTTTCATGGGAAAAGCGTTCCTCCTCCTCAGAGAGAGCCTCGTCTTTGATCTGATACAAATTGGTCATGAACAGAGGTCATTAATTAATTAAAATGACCACAAAACCTTCAAAAACCCACAGAAACCCCCAAAATAAAGGTTAAAAATACAGCAACAAAAGGGCCAAGGTTATCTATCTTGGAAACGAGGAGAGTGTTTCTAGCAGCTGTGCGACGGTGCGGGGAGGGGGTGCTGAGAGTGTTTGGAGACAAGGAAATCCGTGCTGAGCTGAAGGCTCACAGTCAGCCTGTTTCCACAAGCACCAAGTACACATACAGAGCTGGCAACCGAAGAACTGAAAGGCGAGTAAATATGAAGCGATTGCCCACACAGTGCAGGGAAGCAGTACAGAGAGAGCACCAGCATTTGGGACCGTCTTTCTTGGGGGGAAGTTGCCAGTTTTCTGGGGGGAAAGTATGATTCGATGCCTGTCCATTTTATAAAAACAGGACTTTGCCCTTTGGAATCGAATGTGAGAACTGGAACAATGAACGCTGAACACGAAGGCTCCTTTGGCAGGTGCTCAGAGCTCCAGGAAATGTTCCTCTTTCTGACGCAGGTGTGTCATTCTTCGGAGGCAGCCAGTTATTTATGAAAAACTCAGCCCGTGTCATCGTGGAAATAATATCCCAGAACCACAGGCTGTTTCTCATGGTTCTGACAGAGCTTAATTTCTAAAGTCAAGACGCGAGCCCTCTGGGATCACAAGTAAGACTTCCAGGAATCGAGGTGAGGGCGGCAGGTCACCAGGAGAGATCTCGCCCTGGGGCTGGGCTCCGCCTGCCCACTCCTCGATTCCATCCCTTTATTTTCATTTCTGACTTCATTGTCAGGGATCCAGAATCCCTGTGATGAGTAGAAGGAGGGGAGGAAGGGAAGTGGATAAAGAAAGTTGAAGCGTTCTGGGTGAAGGGACGGCTTTTTAAAAGAAGGCTCCAGAAGGAAGATTTCAAAATGCACATGTCAGCAGGGCCTCGTGCTCTCCCTGAACTCTCAGCGGGGACTCGGGTGGGCATTTAATGAAGCTTCCAGCTGACAGGCCCAGGAAAATGAGTGGGAAGGGGAGGGAATGGCAGGCCTGGAGCACACCCTGAGCTTGCTGCTTGCAGGAGTGGCCGCCTTACCACCTTCCGTTCTCTGCCTTCAGCCAGCACCTTCCTCTCGGCCTCCAGCTGGTCCAGGATGGTTTTCTGCAGCAGTGGGGCGTTTGCTCCTCTAACCACAGCCACCAGTTTCCCTCCCTGCAACAGGACAGATGTGCTGCTCAAGCCACAGGACACCCAGATGCTAATCTGTTCGAGAACCAGTGGGAGTGTCCAAGCGCTTTGTTTAGGAGTGTGCCCAAGGTCAAGGTCAAAGCCCATCGGCCCCAGGCCCACAGCCTCCATCCACTTCTCTGCCTTGTACCCCAGGCCCCTCCTTTCAGAACTTCCTTCAGGGCAATGGGGAGTCAGCTAAGGGAGGGACAGGATGTGAGTTGCCTATACCTGGCTCATGCCCTCAACATGTATCTATTAAGCACTTACCTGTCAAGCACCGAGACCCAGGCAAAAGCTATGAACACTAAACACGAAAAGACACAGTTGTGCCCTCAGTGAGTGGGGAGCCGAGTGGGGGCAGGAAGGTGATCATCAAACAAACAATTACAATAGAACGAGGTCATTGCTTTAATGGGGGGTGTACAGGATGCTTGGAATTCCGGGCAAGACTCGATTCCCAACTCCATCTGGGAGGTCAGGTGGTGTTTGGGGTGAACCCGGGTTTCCTGCTTTCACTGGTTCAGCAGTGTGTGGCTGGGGAGCACGCTCCTCTTAGCTCCTTCCCACGTCTCCCTCCCGCCCCACCCATGTTCCATCATATGACTTCAGTCTCCCGACTAAAACTCCAGGCGCAAATGTTTTATCACAAGTTCCCGATCTGTAATCCCCTGCAGTGCTGAGGGGCCCAAACGTTTCCAAACTAAACCCTGGCCTGGCTATCAGGAGGCTGGCAGGGGTGGGGGTGGGGGGTGGGGAGAGCCCCCAGTTTCCCAGTATAAGGAGGGGACTGGACTGGGTCAGGAAGAAGATGTCATTCAGTTGCCTTCAGTGCCTGTCAGGAGACCTAAACCTAGAGAGCCAGGAGTGACAGTGGGCCCTAGGGGTATGAGCATGGATGTCATACCAAAGACATCCCAGTTACCGTCAAATCACTGCACCACTTGGCTGTCCTCAATAGTCCCTCTCATTTCTGACTTTCCGTAAACGACCTTCCCATTTTATGATACATAAAGGTGCATGCAGAGCTCGTCCACCCATGAAGGGGTACTGGGTGTGCTATAAGCTCCCCTCCACAGAGCAAAACACAGGAAGCTGAAACGCTGCTCTGAGAGTGAAACCTCAGTCAGGAGTGACCACCAGCCAGAAGCAGCATATCAGTGACTCCTGTTCTTCCCCTGCACGGCCCGGCCGAAGCTGCCCCTGCTCAGGCGACGCCCCCGCCGGCCAGTTGGGGCCTGCATCACCAGGACTTCAGGACATCGTCCTCTGCCAAAATGATAAAGACAGTCAAGGAGCAACCACATCCCGGGTTTGGATCAGTGTGACGCCTTGGTGACTCCCAGTGAGAATTAATGCCCATGAGACTCGCCCACCTGAACCCCAAAGATCTGCAACCATCAGATAGTCCTGGTTCTGAAAACGTACTTACCGCATAGAACAGGAAGGTGGGCTCACACCTCCCGCGGTATTTTTCGAGGACGTCAAGACAGTCTGCTTCCGCCTAAAGAAAACAAGCTGCCAGCAGGTCTCCTGGGCACAGCGGGTACAGGGACATGATGGCAGGGACTGCACAGGACAACCCCACATGCACACTGCACTCCACACACCACACACACACCACCTATCACACACACACACCCTGTCACACTCACCACCACCTATCACACACTCACACCCACATATCACACACTCACATACCACATATCACACACACCACCTATCACCCACGCACTTACCACAATATCACACACTC